TCATAGAATGGGATTACTAACAAAGAATGAGGAGAAGCAAATTCCTAAGAAGCGAGAGGTGTTGACTCTCGATTCGGATGAAGTCATCGAGGAGGAAGATGACATTCAAGCCGAATAGCCTCCTCAAAGAACAACACCAGGACTAGTTCGTGTAGATGTAGTTACAGTGGAAGACGAATCGAATAGGCAGGATCGGCGAAAAGGCAAAAGGTAGCAGAAGCTAGCGGCGAAGGCCGAAGATTGGAAGCATGTATGGCCGAAACGGAGGTAACGTGGTGGAAGACATCAAAGCGACATGCAAGACCGAAGAAGAAAGCAAACCGCAAGGTGGTAATATCAGAGTCTTCGGAGTGTAGTGTAGCCATGATGGAGGGCGATGCATCCACGACGGACGAAGATAGAAGGGAAGAGGTGAATCTTTGAACTGAAGAGGCAGGACCTTCGGGAGTATAGAATGAAGATCCGATGGAGGAAGAAGTGGAACCTTCGGAGGAGAGGACGGCGCCAACAAGTCAAGGTCTTTCGCCTTCGGAGAGAAGGCAGTCTTCGGAGAAGGAAGATGTGACATAGCCGAAGACAAGCGAGGAGCAGACAAAGGAGCTTACTCTGAGCGAATTGATAGTGAAACAGGTAGCAGCGCAGGTTGGTGGGACGGTGGTGGAATCTCCTGAGATTCTCTCGCCACAAGCAACTAAGGAAGTGGTAAGACCCGAAGCTGAGATGAAGTCTTCGGAGCAAGAGCCGAAGGAGTTAGTAGTTACATTTCCGGACTTCCTACAGGATAACGTTGTTCCCTTGCTAAAGTATTTGAATGGGAAGCGAGAGAAGTACACAATCTCGAAGGAGGTAGTATTCTATGTACAATTGGTCATAAATAAGACTTGCATGAAGTGAGCGGTGGCAGTGAAGAGACAATGGCAGGCAGCAACTGCGAAGGCAGCAGAAAGAGTTGCGAGCTTGACGTCTGAGTGCGCGACCATGAAGGTTACTTTGCAGGAGCGTGAAGAACACCTTCGGACGAAGGAAATGGAGTGTGAGGTTCTTCTTTTGAACCTGGCCAAGGAGAAGGAGTTTAGGGCTGAAGAGTAACTCAAAACCGAAGACCTTCGGCGAGAGATTGCAGCCATGAAGATCGAAAAGATGGAGCTTTGAGGTAGGATCATGGCACGCACAAATGTGTATAATGAGGAATTGCGAAGCGCAAATGAGCTTATGGCAAGTTTGGCGGAGCAGATGAAGAAGCATGAAGTCGAATTAGCCGATTGGGCAAAGAGATTGACGGATTGCGAATTGGCCAAGTCTTTGGAGTTCGAATGTAGAGTAAAGTTGGATGCAGATTGCGATTGATTGTAGAATCAATTGAAGGCAGTTACGGAGCAGTTAGAGACGTCGCGAACAAAAGCGAAAGCGGCGGTATTGGCGTTTCGTCAACTGAAGGAGGAGATGACCGACAGTTTGCGTCTGCGGGGTGAGAAGTGTTGGCGCAGAATTTGTTATGTGGGAAGTCCAAACTTTGAAGTGGCTGAAATTGGACTCAATTTAGCGGCGATTGATGAGCATGAAAACCAACAGAACCGCATGGCATCTGTAGTTAGTTAGATTAGTCAATTCTTTCTCTTCCGAATTAGAAGAGGCACGAGAGAATCTAGAGATGGAGATTTTAGACGTGTTGTGTAGGTTAGGAGCAAACAGAAGCTCAGAGGACGTTGTAACTGCTGCGTCGGATGGCGTTGCGCCTTGAGAGTAGTTCGCCTCGAACGATTGAGATGTCTCGGAGTTCGGAATGAATAGAAACCAAGACTCTTTTCTTTGGGGTTTTTTTGTCAATTTTTTTGTCTTGGCTGTCAACTTGTGTCTATCATATGCGTTTGTGAGCTTGTGTGTTCTGTCACCGTGCATGGTGCGCTTCAGTTTGTCGAAAATACCGCATCTGAAGCTGCGAGTGTCCGATTCGGATGTTTCAAGTGTGCATGAGGCTATTCGGATTTTAAGCAAGTTCGAGTCTGGGTATTCGGTTCAGTGGGCTGAGAATGTGCAATCTGGGAAGTTTCCCCTTGAAATCTAAGTGTGGGATCAAATAAGTGTGGGATCTCCGCTGGCTTTGATTGGATAAGTTTAAGGTTGTGTGGATGACTAAACTCTGCTCTTCGGACGTAATCGAGCAGTGTCTTCTGGGAGTGACATGTGCTTGAGAAGTAAAACTCCTCAATAGAATGTTACTTAGTGACAAATCTTGACTCTTTGGTGATGCTTATGTCTTTGTGGGAACAAATCTTTATCATTATGCTCCATTTTGGTACTTGTTGGTTATCACACTTCATTCGACATTCCATGTGATCTGATGAAACTTCTGTTTTATATGTTAAGAAGAAAGATGCTCCCTTCAGATGTGCATGTACTATTGAGTACTAAACAAGATCACAATCAAGAACCAGTATACATTGCCATTCATTTCATGATTTCTTGACCAACTCGTTCAATCAAAGATCCACACCAAGATTGATCTTTGTGGAGCGTACGAGCTCATATGTATAAAGGAAGTTGACAAATTGAAGATTGTGATTCGAACTATGTATGTACACTTTGAATACAATGTCATGGATTTTGGTTTTATCAAAGCACTTGTCATCTTCCAACACTTAATTAAAGATGTATTTGAGAAAATTTCTAGCCCTTGGTTCTTTCAAACAGCAGTTTGATTGTGAGAGCCGTTGAGGCGCGGAGTTACTTTCAAACAACATTTTGAAAGTGGTCGGAGGTGGCCACGCGATGAGTATGTTCTTAGTCAAGGTCGGGAAAGAACAATGAAAAGTTTCATGCATCCATGAGGAGGCTGTGGTTAGATCATGTTTTACGCTATATACTAAGAAGTCTTGACTCCTTCTTGTATCGTTTAACTTGAACCGAGAGCCAAAGCAGTGAACTTGTAATTTTCTTCGATAAACATAATAGGCAAGCGGGTTTGTGGTGTTTTCACCATGTCAGGTTTTTTACACAATTCTAACTTCTAGTTCGTTGTGCTGTGTATGTGGCTACCTCGACTTTACAAGAGGGTGGTAGGGGATCTGCCAGCTAAACTTAGAATTAGGGGGTGCAGATGTTTGATATAAAAAGTGCAAAGTTATGATTGAAGCAACTAAGGCACACATGCATGAAAGTTTGGCATCTTGAGCAAGATGCACATTGAGAGGTTATTGCTTCTTCTCCCCCCACCTACTGGTCGATTGCCGACGCTGTGCGTTCTCCGGAGTGAGCTGGTTTCCAAGACCACACAGGACTGCCCGTGTCAGAACCGTGAGGGCATGAGCTCACCCGTGAAAGACATTCAGAATTGGTCGCACGGTTCAACTCTGTGTTAGGTTCTCCCCGATGGAAATGTCGACTACGTCCGAACTTTAGCTATAACAGTTTTGTCGCAAAATCGTAAACTGACTTAGCTTTCAAAGAGAATCTGAGGGAACGGCAAGACTAGTCAAAGGCAGGTCTTGGAGTACCTTATACAGTCGACGTTTGCAAATGTCAGTTTATAAAAGGAAGAGATAAGTTGGAATTTATCCTTTGGCTTCAGTAGACAATGATCTACTTATTTGACAATACCTCATATTTTTCCCACATCTAAGAGTGTTCGTATACACTTCATGTGGAGGACATAAAATGAGCCAAATAGAGGAAAGAATGAACTTGTCTCAGCTGAATATGAGGTTTTGACGATCCAAAAGGTTTTGATTAAGAGGAGTCGATTGTATCACCGGTAGATCTCGTTATGTGCTCATCTTATGTACATTCTAGCTGGAGCTAGAATGTACATAAGAGAGAGAGGAAGACATCGGTCATAGATTCATTTTTTGCTATCACCACTTCTGTCACTTCGATGGGTTACGATGAAAATGACAGCAATGATCCACTTCTGAATTCACATCTGTCGTAAGACCAAGTTGTATTGGTTGGTAAGACGTCCCAAGCTTACTGTCCACAGTACAACACGGTTAAGAGTTATGTTCCCCTTCCTAACCGTAATACAGAGAGGTTTTACAGCTGCATCCACAACCGACCTTAGTTTGTCTTCATGTTGCGTGAAGAGGCAGCCTCTGTTCAGGTGCACCATACGTGTCTCGCCACGAAACAGACACGACAATGGCTTCGTTCCGAGAAAAATGCCCGCTCCATACTAATTAACCCTCCATCAGAGTGCATGTCTGACTCACATAAAACAGCTGACGCTGCGAATATTTAGCATTGGATCACGTACTTCCACTCAGTCGGAGAAGTTCGTGCCCACACCTCACTCTAGCCAAAATCGCAGGGGTATGTCTTGGTCAGTTGAAGGTTCGCATCTAGAGGTCATTTCATCTCTAGCTTTCCAAGTTTACCGTTTTTTTATTTCTTTACACTACCAACAACCAAGATTGACGGTAGAAACAACCAGTACATTTGGTAATGGGTCAAGTACCAATAGATCAACCCTCAGGACGGGCTGTTGAAAAGCCATCCCCACCCACAAGTCTTATCCATTGGAACTGACAGAAAGCCACATGGAACTCACTAACTTCGCCATTCGTGGAAATTGTACGTAAATGACTTGCTTAAAGTATGTATGACAGCATTGTCATAGACTTTATGCTGAGTAATAATATGATAACCAGTATTATAGGCCTTGAACGCAGTGAAGATTGTTCAAGCCTGGAACTTTGTACACTAGTCGCGGTGAACGTCATTATCCATGTACATGTGTGTCTTTATCCCAGTTTCCGGGCACAGTGACACCTATGCATCAGATGGTATTCCTGCTTCCCCAAAGAGGGAGTTTTGTAAGGAAGAGAGAGAGAGAGAGAGAGAGAGTTTGAATCCACGAGAGTCAAGTCAACATATGAGGCTGAACGCCAGTCAATGATGGAAAGTTCCTCCTAAATTTATTTGCTATCTAGAAATTACTAGTTGATTTCAAGTGGAGAGCTTCGTCGAGAGCATGAAAGAGTGTTTGGTCACTGTCTTGAGGTCTTCGGCTATGACAGGAAAATACAAATCGGCGCATTTTGTATTGTTTCGTCCACAAAACAAATGTATATTTATGGATGAGGGAGAGATGGGACCTGTAACGCAGTAAGAATGTACCGATTCACTGTAGGCTAAAACCCAAATTCGTACAGACATTTGCTCCGACAAAGAGGCCCTGAGACCGTGACCTGGAGTACAGGATTGCAATTTTACTCCTAGAACCATGTACCGAGTTATTTTGTGCGATCTACAGAGCTCAATTATAGATTCCCCGAAACAGATGCCTGATAATGTGGATTCATTCTAAAACCAGAGCATTCTCATTCAAAGGTGCGGAGTCATGGTAAACATCTGTCACCGTGAGAGTCGTGGAGGGAGTAACCACCACGAGCAATGCGCCGTCCTCTGTTCTGGAGTGCCTAGCTACCTCATTGTCGCCAGCCCTGTATGGTAGCACTGGACTGCGCATATGGCTTCATTCTGAGGGGTAAGGTTTGTGAGGTAGATGTGTTTTCCTGGAGCTTAAATCGACTCGATGATTGTCTAGAGCAGATCTGCCCGCGCATCAGAATGCATAGCACTTTGTGACAGAGAACGGGCTATGCAGTAGGTGATCCAGCTATGATAGTGAAATGGAATCTCATTGAGGTGGAAAAAGTCTCCCAACGAATTAGTCCGGCTGCTGCTGCCTCTCTAGGCCACCAAACTCTGTCGTTGGGTCGATGGGAAGAGCTTGATTAAATCCTTGGGTGACCTCCCCCTCAACGAGATAATATTCTCATCTCGTCGGTGCTGCAGGCTACAATGGTTCCAGATGCGGGCTTTGCAGCTGCGGTCTCGAACTCTCCAGTGATGAAACTCTAAATGGGAGATCGGTGGCTTTGGCTGCAGCATTTCTCGGCGTGGCTCCCCGCTGAGCTGGAGTAGAAGATCCAATTTTGCCGACCGCAGGCTGTCGGGAGATTCCGCTAATGCTGTTCGGTCCCTACTTGTTTAGATGCCATTTTCATAGATCTGCAAAAATTGTCGCTTCCAGATTCTCTCCCGATCGTTAGTACTGATGGGACGAGACGCGATCAGAACAGATCACTCGCCGATGGCAGCATCGCTCGTCCCCGGGATTTTCGGCCGGCATCTGTTGTATGTTTTGGTTCTTTGACTGAGCAGGAAACTTGGATTCGAAATTTTTCTCAGTGGTCGGTGACCCAACAAGGCCATCCGGTTGCTGCAACAAAGATATCGTGGAAATGTATTGGAGAAGGATCTTCTTTTTCGAGGAAGTTTACCTCAGATCTTCTCCGATACTTGTTCACGATGTTTGTGTTGTACCAACGCGCACCACACCGCTTCTGCATCAGTCCCCCCTCATCACGAACTTCTCTTTCGAGGAAATTTACCTCAGATCTCCGATACTTGTTCACGATGTTTGTGTTGTACCACTTCTGCCTCAGTGCCCCTTCATCACACACACACACACTCCTCTCTCTCTCTCTCTCTCTTCCTCTAACACGCCTCGATTATAGCTGCTAGCTTTTCTATCATTTGTGCACACTTCACTCGAAGCCATCTCTTGCTCATTGGTTGAATTGAAGCTACGAGTTGCATATCGGGGACCGTTCCTTGCCTTTTCGTGCAGAGAGTTTTAGTCTTAGTTTAAATAGAATAGAATCTAATTTCGGAGTTTTGTCGAAGATCATGGACCTTGGAACACACCACAGACTTTTGGGGCAGATGTGTCGAAGGACTAAATGGAACCCGACATTGCTACATTGACCAATTCTGGACTTCAACATAGACGGAATTGCCGGAACCGATTTCGAGGTCTCACTGATTAGAGTCGATCGTTCATAGTACAATTCGGTGATCCTTCAGTCGCAACCGATTACGACGAGGACATCTGAGAGTCTCTTTCAGCAGGTCATAGACACACAATTATAACTCAACTGACTACAATTTCGAAGGATTTGTGATCGAAATATTACCTCCTCGCGAGGCCGTGTTATACCTTGAAACGCTATCTTAATATTCATTTGAGCGGAATTTGCGATTTAAATGCAAGGATCACAAGGATTGTTCAGAGAATTACTGCAGTTGTTTAAAGTAGGCCGATAATTTATATCTGACTATCAGATTGTTGTCGTGAAAGACAGAATGAAAGGTTGTAAATATAAGGTCAGTCTTGACTTGAAGATGAAGTTGTTGGAGATCAGATATTGAGATTAAGCTTCAGTACACCACTTATGTTCCCTCGGCAAGTTGGGCAGCGATTACTGGACAACTGATTGGCACACATGCAGTTACTGCAGTACTGAAAATGCATACAGTTGAGAACAACCGTGTCGCGAGGAAATGAGAAGCATATAGAACATAAGCTCTTCTCCTTCTCTTTCTCCAGATCTCTCTGGACATGTTCTAGTTTCTTGACCTCGTCATCAAGCTTCCTTTGAAGAGCTTCCTCACGTTCTTTGGACCTTTCCTGAATGACCTTTGCAGGCACACCTTCGAACAACCTGAAAGAGCCTGAAAACTCCGAAGGAAATAGACTTGCATAATATTTCATGGTGTCTTGGAACTGCTTCTGTCGGAGCTCTTCGTGCCTTTTCAGACTTCCTTTGTATTCTTTGGCAGACTCGTTCAAAATTGAAATGTACCTCGTCAGAGCACTGTCGTGTCTGTCTAGAATCTCTTCATGAGCGCCTCGAATCACATCATCAAGTTCTCTGAGATGCACTTCATCGAGTGACTTGAGATTCTTTTCGAGCTCTTTGCTCGCTGCTTGCATCTCTTGCGACCAAAGTTTACCAGATTCATATGATTGGATTCCAGCAACTCCAGATCCATCTTTGGCGGCTGAGCTTTTCGCCCGCAAAGGAATTCTGGACTTCTGACTTGTTCCACTGTAAGAAACTTTCGGAAGACTTGAGTATACTTTCTTCTCCATCCGTAAAAGCGTTTATCGTGTTCAGTCACGAGGATTACATCGGTGCATTCAGCTCAGCTCTTATGAAGAAGGCTTCAAGCTGGAAGGTTTCAGTAAACTGTGTTGTGGACTTCTAGACATCTGAACGCTTGTCGTAACAGCCATCTCGTCATTGTGTGAACAGTTACAATTGGAAGTAAGTTGTAAAGCCTAGGATTAGGTTCCAGCGGTTTGGTGGAAAGCGTCTTCGTATTCCTCGAGAGCTGTAAACCGGATTATTCTCTTTTCGAAGCATACATCTGATAAGAGGACGGCATGAACGCGTTTGTGATCTAGAACGCTTACAATGCTACCAAAGTAATCTTCATTTCCACTTCCTTTCATGTCAAAAACGACCAGTGGATAGTGTGGACTATACAGCTGATATAAAAGAGGGCATGTAGTGCACATGCCAATATTCCAGACAGAGGGAACTGCCGTGTAGGAAGTTTAGACCCTCTATCAGACATGCAGCGAGTACAATCAATCCCTAACCCATGCGCACAGACTTTCACAACGAGACCGTTCTCCGATCTTGTCTGTGCTCGGATCCATCAGCTGACAAAATCGACGGAACTCAGCGCCTTGCTGACAATGCCCGTGAATGAGGAGACTCAGTAGAGCAGGTCATTCTGCACCACTACATGGCCGTGTGTGGTGGTGATCCATTGTTAACCTTTCCAGTATGTTGATGTTTTTTTTTTTCTATTCCAGTGTAATAGACCTAAAGGCTCTTTGCATACCTATGCGGATTAAAGCGAGATCAATAGCGCCACATGAAAACAACAGGTACTATGAAGTGTCTCACTCACTTCTGACAAAGAACCTTGCAAAACTGTTCAATATTATGAGAAAGGTCGCTGGAAACTCCTTGCGTCAGATTCTTCTGGATGAAAATGAACCAAGGAATCTCTTTGTGAAGAATGAATAAAGTTCAGAGGTCTCTGAGTGCAAACAAATGACTAGCATAAGCGAAGCCACTAATGCCTACGCAAACCTCTTTGAAGATGACAGTCAACTTTCTAACAGTAGTGGACATACTTGAGTTAAATCCAGAGGATGAGCGATGTTACGGGACAGACAAACCAATCTAAGTTAACATGAGCAGAGACGCCAAGGTCTCTTGAGACAAAGAAAAGCAAGGCACGAACTTGGAATTCCCCGAGCTTAGCTACTATATGAGCATTGAGACCGAAGGTGCAAGTTCAGGAAAATCATACATTCCAAGTGATACATAGTGGTTGTAATTAGCTGTGGCGGAAATCGACTGAAACTAAAGGCAAATGAAAGTTAGTATAAAATAAGGACTGTGTATCCGAACAAGTAATCGCAACTCACGAGCTTGCCAGCAAGCAGGAGCATGAACATTCCTAGTTCAGAGTTGCTGGCGAGAATTATCATATATTTCTACGCGGTCTTGCCAATCCACAAGAGCACCAATGCTGGTCAACATTCACTGGAATAAGTTATCGGCAAATTGGAACACAATCAGTGTTAATCGATCGATCATGTTGGTCCAACTGACAGGTTCGATTTGACAGCGAAAAAACACATCCAAACTGAATGCTAAAACAACTGCCCAAAGCTTACATAAAGAGAAGACAACATGGAGTCCTTCAACAACTAGCGTGTGGAAAAGTGTCGTTATAATGGGAGCGTCATTCATTCGAGGCCAACTACTTTTGAACACTGCAGGCGTGGGACGGCTCTGTGGTCAGTGCCAGAGCCGTCCCACGCCTGCAGTAATTGGTATAAGTATAATGTATGTCTGGCTTTAAGCTTCAGTGTCCATCCAGCAGTCTTCTACTTCAGCTTTTGTCTACTCCTGCTTGTTCTACATCAATGATCATCGACGAAAGAAGTCGCTGGGGTCAAGTTGGGGAATCTTCATATAGTCCTCCTTGGAACTAGGGCTGTCCTATCACAGTACTATATTTCAGACCACGTTGCATGAGCATGTTCAGATACTTTTTCTACTTCGGCTTCCATTTCTATGACTCTGGTAGAGATACACACTTTGTCTATCAGAAGCAGTAGCATTCTTGCAATATGAACTGCCTGTGTTACGTGCACCGAGCATGTATCTTGAGCTCTTTATAAGTCTCCACATTTCCAGTATGTGGTAGCTGTTTGTAGACTACTGCATTGCTCGTTTCTGCATGCTCTCGATGCTTTAGATTTACTCAAATTTCGGAATACTCAGTAGAACGCACTGACTCATTGTCAGTGGATTCTGAAAGAATCGTACACACTAAACCGAGGTTGTTGAACGAATAGCGCCTCACGGCGGGTACAGATCTTCACATTATGATATCTGTTAACATACGGAAGAACGATGGAATACTGCTTGCATACTAATGGTCGTACTCAAGATTGGGAAGTCTGTTCAGCTGTAAAGAAGTGTTCAGCTTTACACGAGTGATATCTCAGCATTTTGAGATTCTTCTTGCAAGGCCTAGATATTGATGCTCGATTTTCTGAAGCTTCAAAGCACACAGCAGAATGCACTTTCTGGCTAGCTCCAGGGCAGGTGCGTACGAGCGAAAAGTACACATTATTCTGTAGATGCTCAATCAGACTGAGTGCGCAACATGGTGAGCAACCTTGATGCAGATTCTTCGAAATGTGGCATCAGAAAGTATCTTCGGAAAAAATCATGTTCTTGCGATGTGAACTCAGATGGGAAGGTTGATGTGGACTGTAAAATTAGATGCAGACGATTATGTAGGTTTCCAGACTCTTATGTCTATACAAACTACATCAAACTTTCGTCTTTGCATGCTTTGGATGCCTGAAGTCTGACAGTAATAAGCAGAAATCCTTGTGATTACCAAATCCAATGCGTGCGTTCATACGCACACATTGGATTTGAAGCTCTGCCCAATTGAAGCTGTTCGATCAACGTACGCCATGCCCAAGAAGCAAATGCAAATTATTTACATTGTGCTGGCTGGATACCCTACTGAATTTTCACGATATAAAGTCAAGATGGTACGTACACCTGGGATGTTTATGAAACATGCTAGCCACTTGTGGAGGTAATAAACTCCCACAAGTGCTGAGTGCTGCAAACAGTGTGAATGACAAATCGTAATGCACATTCCATCGATCGTACACTATGGCATACAGAAAATGCACACATTTTTCATCTGGATTCCAGAAACCTTCCTTCCGGAGATTTCACCAAGGAATCTCGTCACTTGTGAGCGTATGGCAAGCTTGATCTGCAATTCTTACTCAGTATTGTGTAGAATCATGGCATTCGACTAGCATGCTTGATTCATATTACTCTCAGAATGCCACATAATGTTCACTCTAGATACGTTTGCACATATTATATTTGAAACCGTAATGTAGATTCTGCTTCACTTTCCAGTACATGACTTTGGGATTGATCCTACGGGTTGAAAGTATGGGGTTTGCATTCAGCATATGCTTGCCGCGTGTGTGTGAGGGAGGATAACTTCTACCCCTCGCAATGTCCGCCTGGTCCTTGCAAGCGGCTGGCAGAATAGAGGGATATTTCTTGGGCACGACATTAGTCCTGAGATCTCTAGCAAGGGCACCGGCATTTACGAAGCCTTCGAATGGTAGGTCATAAGGCATGCTAGGCGCTTGTGAGGGTGAGACGCGTGTGGACTGAAAACGTGCACCCCTATTGCACAACATTCCCGCTTTCTGCAGATTCTGCCTGACCTGCAAATATCACATGCGAGTGGCGCTTCCTCAATTTCGGGATTTGCATTCAGCATGCTCGTCGCTTGTGAGAAACTAGAACGCATTCATCTAGAGTTCTTCTGTCAACGTAGATCCGGACCGTCGCAACCAGCTGGCACGCTGGTCTCGCACTCCTTCAATGCCTTCAATTGTAACAGTCGATATTACATGAATCTTGAGTGTCCTCAACGCATTAATCGTTTGGCATATGAATACGGCTTGTTATCCGCTTGCGAAGGTATAATGGGAAGCATTGAATCAATGTGTCCGGGAAATGCTCGCAAGTGGGCAGCAAGCTTGATACGTTTGCCATCGGACCAAAAAAACGTTATCAGAACTGCTGCCAGTTTTATCAACGCCTTCGAGTGTAGTCATCTGCTTCATACTCCCTTCAGTATGGTAGCCGCTTCTGAGGGCGGCGTGAGATTGATCTGAAGGATCTGATTCCATGCTACTCAACATACTCGCATTCGGCTTGCTCGTTGGATGCAGAACTGAACCTTCTACTGCACTTACTAAACATTAAGTGGAGTTCAAAATGAGTTTGGGATGTTAATACAGCATGCAAGCCGAATGTGTGGTAAGACTTTACGTTGCTCTGTAATTTCTCTATCACTGTCGACTGGGAACCTCGCAAATGACGCGCAAGCTGGATGCGCATGCATGTCTTCAGTCTCCACACTCGCAGTTCTGCATTCAAGATCTCCAGCGCGGTCTTGTGCCACGAATGAGCAAACCTTCGAACATATACGAGGCATATTAGCAGGGTTGAAAATGTTCAGCAAGGTTCCTGGAAAATTTCACCATGGCCCAGCAAGCATGATACCCATTGTGTAGATCAATCTATTGTGATCCAGACTGGCTCAACTTCTTCTAAACTGGAATGCCTAGCCGTAGGTGAGGGATAAGTCGACACTGCTCAATGGGGAAATGGATCCAAATTCCATCAGTCGCCATGTTCATGATTTGAAGAACTCGACAGTGCCGGCATGTACTTGAAACTTTCAAAACGCGTGGAATATACTTAAAGCATGACAGTCCTGGTCTGCGAAAATGTAGCACTTCCTATGAAACACATTCGCAATGGGGCTGCAAGTTTGATACTCATTCCATCCGTTATCAGTGCGCGATTCAGAAGACATGTCTCAACTATATGGCTGCTATCTCTTGACCCAGGTAAAGTGAAAGGGAAATGCATGAATGCGCTGGAATTCTATCAAAACTTCAACCACATTGCTCAGTTTTTACTGGATTCGTTCTTAGTATGCCGGCACCTCATCTCGAAAAAAAACCGTGATCCGCAGTTGTTCTGGCGTCTTTCAATGCATATCCGAATCCTCGTAACCGACCGCCAACTTCGATGCACATTTCTGGAGATGTTTTGGACTATGAACTGAAGTAAACTTCGAACGTTCAGAAGGCAAGCCAGCCGCTCGGGAAATATAAAGATGATTCTCATGAATGAAGTTTACTTCTTACGAAAAAGAGATTGGGTTTGCGTACAACATTTCCAGTGAATACACTTGTAATTTTATATAGAAGAAGTATCTGCTTTTTAATTTACGCTAAACTATCTGAAGACAGCCATAAATAATTATTTGATTTTATAGGTCAGGCACTCAATGTACCATTGCACCCAAATTGAGTACCAATACCTTAGTCGTATGAGAATACGACTTGTGATGTAATTCCCCAAAAAAAAGAAACAAATTCACAGTAATCATCATAAACCTCCAAACCGTTGAACGAGGTCCGCAGTGGGACGAGACCCATTAAGGCAATTCTGATAATGCATATCAAAGGTGAGAAATTAGGACAGTATGTACATAATCGCAATGCCTTGTCGAGGTCAATGTTCTTTGTCAAACGGCATTCTTATGCTACACGAGATCTAACTGGAGATCATATCGGTCACACCCTTCAACGTTGGAAGGTTTATTATCAAGCTTGCCTCTTGTAAGCGTACCCGGTTGAGAGGCCAGGGAGAGCTTTCACTGAGCTCTCCTGGTTCTTCACGGTTCATAAAAAAGCTTCCAGCTTGCTGCAAGCTTCATGCTCATTCCTCCAATGACAACTCCTCCTATTGTTAACATCATTAACATGATAGATGGGTCGGAATTAACACACTTGGAGTATGAGAAGCTTGCGAGCTGCTGGTGGGAGTATTTGATTTCCTCGTTACGCAACATGCCTTGCAATCAGTTATTGCAGACTTTCCGCGTGGCCTGTGGCAGGTACCAAGCGTTCAAGTTTTCATGGAGCACGCTAGTTCTATGTCCCAGAAGCAGAACAACAAACGAGCACACCACTGCAATCTGAAATCGGTGATCATTAACTTGTATTCTTCTCACAACTGCTCCCGAGCTTCATGCTTTCGGTCAAGCTTTGGTACTCGAGTACCAAAGATCATCAATATTTCGAGGCAAGATTTCAAAGCTGACTCAGGAAGTGGACGTGGACCTCAGACGCAATCTGTATTAAGATATTCCCAGAGCGTGCTATTAGCATGAGGGAGAAGTAACACTGAAGAGATTTTCGTCCTAGTAAATACTCACGAGACGCTGACAAGTCGGATTTAAACTCTGTGAGTCTCGACCAAAGTGGAGATCTTTCGACTCAAGGATCGGAGCGATCCTCATACATGGAATCTGTAAGAGGCATGCTGACCACTTGTTACAGATGAATTGTTCTTGCAAAACTCTTGCGTTCAGCTGGCAAGTTTCTTGCAGGTCTGTCTGTAACTATTGGTGCGAGGACAAAGACGGAAATCCTCTGGAGTCTCGGAGTTCGTTCCGAGTGTCTTCTTTGAGCTTCAGCCGTACGTACATACATATAATCATTGTCATTTTGTAATCCTGCAGGAGACGGCCCGCAGCATAGTGGCCGAGAGAAAGAGAGATACGACTCGGATGTTCACTCAGCATGGTGGCTGCTGGCAAAGGAAGATCCGAAACTCAGTCTGAGATGTTGCATCAGGCACTAGAGTCCCACAATCAGTTAAAAGTCTCCGTGGAGCTCCTCTTGTTGTCGAGCACAAGGACGAAAGGAAGAGGAGGAGTGTGGTGAAGGGTAAAACCTTTGGATCTTCATTCAGCGTGCCAGATAACGGTGACGGTGTACCGCGCATGGACACTCCATTAGTACTCATCAGAATTCTCTCTTCGATGTCGCCAACGTGATCAGGGTTCTCGCGTAACAGGTTCAGCTTCCAAGTGAGGTCGGATGAGAAGTCCAGAAACCAGGCATTTGATCACGAGCAATGTGCCTAGAGCATGCTAGCCGCTTGTGAGGATGAACTCGTCAGCAAGTCTGACTCCTTCAGTAATTGGCTTCTACCTTCTCACGATCGGCTAGCTAGTTCAAAGCACATTCTTCATCTAGGCGACTCCAAGGCCACTTTCATATTCGAATGAACAGGGGTGAACCAGGGGACTTCCATTCAGCAAGCCGCTCGCTCCTCGGTAATTTTTATGTCCCGTCCCATCCATTTAGCCGACTATCCAGTCCATCAAATTTCAATTTAGTTTAGAGAGAGAATGTGTGTCTGTGTATTTATTTGCAATGAGCAAGCTTCTGCCTGTCTTGACATAAATAAGCTGAAGTAGACATCAACTCTTCGGAGAGAAAACATACTTGTGACGTCTCTCATGCATTGTATCTTCGCATAGGAACGAAATCGTAAGGTTCGAATTTCTATACAATCATTGTGTTCATTTCTTTCATTGACGTTCACCATCCAGACCGGCTGCGAATTTGGGTGAGGATCTGCAGCTTGCCTTTGTACCGCTGCAGCTTTCCAGGAAACGTGGATGACGGTTATCGAAGCAGTCTTAGCTTCTGCGCTTGTGAAGAAACTTGAATATATCGAAAGAATTCAAGCAGTCTTGCGGCTGACATTCAGATTGCATCAAAGAGGTCGGCTAGTTTTGGACAAAGACGTCTGCGTTTGGCTTACAAGGCAAACGCAGACGACTTAGTCCAAAACTGGCCGACATCTTTGGACTCGTGACGGAATTCCAAGTACCTCCGAAGCGGGTGGCTAAACTGCGGGCTGATCAATAATCAACTTGACCAAACGTGCGAAGAATATCTGGCAGGATTCATAGAGCACTTCCAATGGTCATTCACCATCGCAGCGGCACGTATCCAAGATCAGTTTCTGTGCATTGAAAATGGAAATGTTGTGGCCATGATTAACGATCGTCATGCATTCTTCCAATTTCTAATCAAGTAAACCGCTTGTAAAGGCGTAGAAGCATTCAATAAAGTCTACAGGACACACATTAGATTCATCTGATCAGCTTGCAGTGTCCAGGTCTTGCTCCTGACGATCGGGTTATTGACGAGAATAAAGGGACGCAAAGGAAGAAGAAGATGAAAACCTTGACGGCAAACTTACGCCAACACATTCACAAAAACCCGATTTAAAGATGGTCTCAACCTTTGCGTTTCTTTTATGAAAGAATTCAATCTTATGAAGAAACTCTATCAGTACACGGAAAAATCTTCGTTGAGAGATGGCAATTTCTTCCAAGCGATGTCGTCAATGTCGCAGGACACAAGAGAGATGGCTCGGAATGCATCTTCTTATAATTCTGCGGTCTGCAGAGTTTGTGTCGATATCCGTGGACTTCACACACGCTTATTGAGACACTGTCAGTCTTTGTAAGAAATGGATATTTTCTGGGTCCTCGGTTTCCAAACTTTGAGCATGGAAACCTGTACTTCCTTGCAGTCCTCATGCATCGATTGGACGCTGTCACTCAACTCGTATACAGGACTCTAGTAACGCTGCACTGCACATCAACTTCAGAATCAAATTGTTCCCCGTATGAAACTTGGATACAGACATTTTTTATGGATAAGAATCATGAGGATGATGAAGTAATAGCATGAAGGTACCGAGCAGGTGTCTAAATTGTAAACTAAGGAGGTTCAAAAACTATCGCACCTTCTCCTTGAGGTGGTCGTTGTAATCATAACAGAGGATGGCATGTACACTGCACCTCGATCTCGGACTGTACCCTCCGCAGTTGGCAGTGAGGATACGGCTACGACTGGATTCTGTCATTGGAAGAAAATAATTGACAGGAAATCGTCTCTACCTAGTTCACTTGTTAGGAGTCACCTTGAAATACTATACTATACTTGAATATCTAGTTGAAGTCCTCAGGATGCTCGCACTGTTCTTAGCGACATCGACATCATAAGATTCCCATGTCGACAGTTTCTGCCGTGGTAGATGAGGAGCAACTTACAGAAGGTGCCCAGTACGAACGGGCACAGACTTCATCCACTTTATAATGCGTACAGCCAAAATCAACGATCCTTGACACTGCGTCCAGAGGAGTTTTGCTCATATTCTTGGTACGATAACGATGAGAAATTTGGCAGTTTCATAAGAAGTCAAAGGGACCGGACGGGCTGATTCAATATTCGTGCTCGTTCTTGTTCGTGCATGTGATTTAATCTTAGGTATTAATTTAAGATATTGTGTTATATATAATATGACGCAAACTATTTGCATTTTTCTTGATGCCAGCCCTCCTCATCAATAAAATATACCTCTGATATGTCTATCCGTAAGCAACGTCCAGATCTCTGGCCTGTGACAGTAGCCAGCTTTGACATAGTTCTCCATTCAGATACACTCATTATGACGGTTCATGTGGGAGCCAAGTTCTGCCGAGGACACACGTCCAGCCGGCTCAGTCACACATTAAGATATTGGGTCGAGTTGCGTAAGGTATTTATGAAATGCTACCGTAGCTACATTACCAAATTTCCCGGATCTACTGCCTTTGGTCCCGGAAGAGCTCTACGAACAATCTGAGGTCAGTCAGAATAATCATAGTAACAAGGATCTACCCTCTTCAGACATGACTCGAGTTTTTGTACTTTAATATCCATCGCTGAGACATTTGCACATAAAATAGCAGTGATTGTGCTAATTCAGAACTACATTCACAGCTTTTCAGTTTGCATATCTGCTGAAAGTTACATTACTTGGAACGCATTACTGCAACAACAAATTCTTGAACCTACATATTCGGCTCGAAATTGCACCAATTTATCTTGCTCTGGCTTTTAATAAGCTCAGCTCAGCTCAGCATCTTGTAAAAGAACTAGCTAGGCTTCAACACACGATTCTGTCAGAGATGTCAGGAGATCTTAAAGGATGGAGAATCTGTTGCTGTACGTGTATCTTATTCTTGTACACCGTCTGGGATATCTTACGCCTTTCATGTTATAAATGGAGTACTAGACGGACTTTGTAAGCCTTTTCGCCGCATCGAAGGAGTGAAGGGGCTTTTGCATTTTGAATAAGGTCCGTGTCAAAAAGTCCTAACCCAGATCTCTGTAATCACAAGAGTGGGCAAGCTCCTCAAGCTGCGGAGGTTGATGAGCCAGAGCACTTAGGGCCAAGGTTAAGCCACATCGCAGTTAGTAGCTCCATGGAGCATCACTTCATCGTGGCTGGGCACATGATATGACCAATAAACCGAAATACTCAGATTACAAGTTTCAAGAGTAGATACAGTTTCTTATACGAAGGTCTTCAAAACTCAATCTCTGGACTCAGATTTCCAGCTGTGAAGCGGATTCGAAGACCTCTAAGGACGAAGTGTTCGCACCCTATTCACGAAAAGATTTGGACTATATACACTTATAGCTCAAAAATCTGATCGCCACATCAATCTTCCATACAAGAAGCAGCTGCCATATGCACATGTCTGGATACGCTCAGTACTCAGCGAAGTATCTGAAACCCTGCAGTACTATTTTACTGCTCACTCCTGTTGCAAACCGTCTGCCGATGCCGTGAAACAAGTGTCGCTGAATCTACTGCTCTGGAGTGGCTCTGGCTCTAGTCTAGACCTGATGCGTACGAGAGTCCTCTGTTCTATTTGAAGTCACTTCCTTCGACTTTGCACTAAGTCCATCGCTTTGACATTCCCCGTCCCCTCCGATTCTCCTGTGAATTTGTCTGATCCTCCGCGTCAATTCCCCTCCAGTCCCTGTTCCTGTTTCCTCCACTAGATTGCTCCTCGTTTGACTACAAATGCTGCAGTTTCATCCGGCCACGCATCGTTGACAGAGTTGTTCTCGATAGTATGACCTCACCTCGCTCGCTGGCCAATGGCTGTCGGAATGTTCTGCACGCTCATCGTAAGTGTAGATCTCTTCGTTCCCTCTACGATTTGTTAGAATCATGTGTCGATATCCTCCTCTTTCATCAAACATTCCTCTGCCTCAGTATCTATCAAACGGGACGGATGCATGTCTTCGAAATGCAGCTTCTCTGAATCTCCTCGTTCATTTCTTCTGCTCCGTCGTCCAAATGTCTGCCGTTTCCGCGCATCAACTTCAGTACAGCCTCGGCTTCTACATCTGTCATTATCCTGCTGCCACTCCAGAAACCAATCGCCTTCATCTGAGAGGGTACATAAATCCTGTATCCAAGAGCTTCCTACAGTTTTCTGCAAACGTCTCGTGCTTTCGAGGGTTGTCGTAGTACCGACTTTCGACTCGAACCCTCATCCGCCTGGTGCGAAATTTGTCTTCTACCATGCTTGTCGACGAATTTATAGAAAGCTCCTCAGTGTGTGGCCGGCGTGGTCGGACGATCTAGCCCGGCCATCGGGCTCTGCGTCTCCACCGTCACGTAGTCGATGAGCGTGAAACTCTGCTCTGCACTTCACCCCGGCCAGAGATCCGCAACAATTAGTATCTTGGTTGAGACAGAAGCCACGTGGTGCAGAAGCTCGCCAGACATGTCCCTCCCGATTCCTCCCGTGGAAGGAACAAAAGGCAGGCAGCTTTGTTTGCGTCGCTACGAATCATTAGTCACATTCCGTCCTCAATCCTCCACATCCGCATTCGAATCCCGAGCAGCCAGGCACCTTCGACTGTTCTTCGAGAAGCTGCTGACAGGACTGCTCCGATGTTGTTGTATATCACGTGCTCACAACAATCTATCGACTCCTGTCTGCAGCAGCAAAGGACTGAGAACAAGCATCCTGTAAACTCTTGCAACATACGCTTGCTTCGACCGTCGTCGGGCATCAGCCTGAACTCCTCGATGTGACTGAGCGTGGTAATCAGAGGTAAACTAAAAGCGAGTGAGCCATAGATGATATCAAATGATAAAACCATAATGATACGGTTCCGCTATACTGCCAGCGAATGACTTGGTTGTTAGCACTGGCCAACAAACACTCCCTTATGGACACGGACTCTGTGCAAAATAAGTCATCGTCCTCGTGTCGCAGTATTGTACAAGCTGCAATCAACGACAATCTTCTCCTCTCCAAAAGCTCCTCGGTGGCATCGGGGTACAGGAGACAATTCCACATTTTAGCTATTGGCTCCTCTGAGTCTCGATAGAGACGTGTGAATAATGGACGGGGGAGGAATCAGATGAAGTTGTCATAGACAGTTGCAGTCGTCAAATAGACATCATAGAACTCTTATGCACGTGTCCCTCTAGGATCGGTCAACGAAGAGGAATAACAGAAGGTCGGTGAATGACCACTCCCACTCTTGCAAACCTTGATCCTGATTCCTGGCCGACGACATCTCGAACCTTTCTTGGATCCTCTTTAGAGATTTTGGAGATGATTCTTTGGGCTAGAGATTGCTGAGAGATTGGGATGTTCGCATGCCTGAGAATGCAATCTCTTGTCCTCTAACACAAGGTTGGAGTTGGAGCCACAAAGAATACGTTGAAGGCCTTCTTCGCTTGCTTTTATGCATCCTGGCTAGCAGCAAGGAGTCCACGACCGGAGGCATTTCAGATTGGCCGTCGACGAGGAGTTGTTCCCCTCTCGCGCACGCCCGTTCAGCTTGGCCAATAGAGGACTGCTTGAAGCGGTCGAACGAAACTTTGCACGAGCCATTTTTAGCCTTTCGCTCTTGCTTCAGCCAAATTCTAAACTTAGCTCGTACCACTTCCTTACGAATCGACCAGAGGATGGCCCCTCTCAGATGACAGATTCTTCAGTGTTTCTGTGGCCTGACCGTGATCCATCTTTTTTGTAAATCTGTGCAAGGGTCAATCTATGCAGGGCCAAATGGACAGCTGAGAAACTTGAAATAAAACACATAATGCAAACACTTCCCGGTGCATAAAGACTGATGCTAGCCAGCGCTTTCGGATGTGGCGTATGGATCCAGTTCCATGAGTTGAACGAAGCAGAAAACATGAGCTGGCATGCGTTGAATAAACTCCGAAGGCCTTGAGCATAGGTGGTCAGAAGCATATGTCATGTCCGAGCCTCCAAACTGCCAAAGCTGGAAATGCGGTCCTGACATCGGACTCTCCAGTAATCAAGGCTGGATAGATATTTGTGGCGTATGGAAAGGCCATCGATCAATGGAGAGCTGCACCATCTCGGCAAGCTAAAAGATGAATTATCCGTTTCATCAGAGATAATCAATTTCTGTACAGTGCCTGCTTTCGTGATATACTTTTCTCACATACCCACCATCATTTGCATATTTTGCAACTGTTCCGCCCGTTCTGTACTCATGCACTATGTGCAAATGGCTTTTGGTTTGGCAACCACTACGGTTTATTCTGAAATTTGCCCCCGAGCATTTAGTAGCTACGTTCCAGGCCCAGCAAGTGTTAGTCTCTGATGAGGTCTCCTGACACTGCTAGACGCCATTAGCCTTCCCACGAGCTTATCATCATCGGCGTCGCTGGTCGCTAGAAACTACACCCATGGACCAGTTCCACCTTCTCGGACCTTAGAACTCTATCTAATTCAGACTGGCTTGACTCTTTGGAGAACTGCACTGTATCGCGTATTTAAAGAACCCAAGCCTCTCGGATTTGGAAATATCTACACGATGCCTACAGTCGCCACAGAATGGACGGATGTGTCCACCCAGCATCGATGCTCCGCCTCCCTTGGCCTCCCTTTCACGTTTCTGTAGTGCTGCGACCGTTAGCCAGTTCCTTCAGTTCTCTTCACTCTGCACTGCCTCTTCGCTCTCCTGATCGAGACTTGATACCTGCGTTGAGTTGCACAAGACAACACTCGGTGGATGTTTTGTCCCCCTGAAAGACAGAAGGGAAGGGAAGCGCAGGGCAGGGCAGGTGGAATTTTGGAAGACAAGAGGGCGTGGTTAGTGTGATTCCCATCGTACGTCTCTCCCTTGATTTCAAGTTTAGACATGGTGAGCCTTTCCTGCATGTAGGTGGTGGTTTTGAATGACATTAGCCTGCGTCTAGATCTAGCACAGGAAGGATGAAATCGGAAATAGCATAATTGAAACTGGGAATATACCTCCTCACGATTGCAGTGCCTTACTGTGACTAACTGTAAATTCAGACAAGATCTGACCTTCCCTCATGTCCACATGCGCACAATCTTTAACCATTTTTCTTAAATATGGGCTTACACATTTACAGCAGATCATACAAGTGAACTATTTCCATTCACCATCTCAGAAATGATGGATTGAGCTAAATTACGTTATGAAGCAACGCAAATTTGCTCTCACACATGTGTTTAGGAATCTGAACCAGACTATGTGTGTAGGCTTTTGGCTCCTGATGACAAAAGGCCCTGTCAGACGGGACCGTGGACTGTCTGACAAAAAAGGAAAAAATTGACAAGGCTCTGGGAAAGTCATTGGCTTTTTCGCTGAAAATAAAAAGATAGATCTACTGAAGCAGTTGTCAAGACAGACGAGGAGCTTAGTCCTTTCTATCTTCAGAACTTCTTTTAATTAAATTTCAAGTGAGGATATTTCTTTTCGTCCTAAAACTAACAACTAGCAGATCCAAATCCAAATATATTTCAAATTTTGTGACCATGTGGAGTTTAAAAAATAAATTACTCATGTATCAGTGAAAAAAAAATTTAAAATGTAGGGAACTCTATTTCACATTTTCATAAATATTTCTTGATATTAGATTATGGTTTGCTAATATTCTCTTGAAAGGAACGTGGTGGATAAACAAAAAATAAACAGAGTAATTTAAAGCTTGAAGAACAAAGGGATTATTCAATTTCTGGAGGCATTTGAGAATTGCTTTGTCCTCTACTAGTCATTCCATATGTACATATATCTGCTGAAATTTTCGCCAGAATAGAGTTTCTATTCATGAAAAAGTTCAGGAAACGAAAAAATTATGTTGAAATGAAGGCCTCTACCTCTACACACAGGTGTGTCATCACCACACAAAGAAGAAAGCATATATTAGAGTTCAAGTTGGGATATAGAGTCTTTTGATATAACTGCCAATATCGACCTGGATGACAAACATCTGTAGTCACCGGACAGTTCGTAGACCTGCCTATGATTCAATTCCATACTTCAATTTTAGGATTGGAGGTTTCTTTGGGTTGTAGTGAAGGGCTCACACAAAAAAACCTCATTAACCGGTTGGGAACCATAACGTGAGAACTTATGAGTACTAAGATAAGCCACAAGCAGGGGAAGACAACTGATATATTTACGTTATCAAGTTACTAGTGTGACACGTATCATCACATCTACATCTTTGAAAGTCTTGACTGCAGTAAGGATTATTGGGCGGGTCCATGAATGGTAACCTGAATGAATTACTTATTTTTCTAAAAAAATTTCATTTATGAAGCTCACCATGCACGACAAAGATTGAGTCACGGTAGATCAAATATATTGATCTATGCTTTAAAACTTACAGGCAAAAGGCTATGTTCTAGTTGTCCTAAATTTACGTATAAGATCACAATATAGAGGTTTTCACATTCATGCGAGTGTACAAAATTATATAATTCACGCTGAAAACTTACACAAGAATACTTCGTTCACAACCGTAATATAAGAAAGAAATCATAATCAGCCAAAATCCACTCAGAACCTAAAAGACTTAAAATACTCACAATCGCTAATATCAAACACACCTACAGCTGCAAAACGGAAAGCCCTCGTTTGACCTCCATCTCTTGAACGCTGAGTATTGTAACGCCGTTGTTAGGGCCTAACCTCATGTCTAATGTAAACATCATTCACTACACGACACTTTCGGAGTAATCGTGGCATCAAACTAATTAGGACAATCAATTGAAAGATAAGTTGAATTTCTAAGAGATCTAAATGCCAATCGCATGTGGACTTTTTTTAAATCGAGTTTACATATATTTACAATAATTAAAACGATAAAAATAATCTTTTCTGATATGTATATCTTAATTCTTATGGTAAATCATAAATATTATATATACAAAATTGAGAGTCTTATCTCAAGCAAATTTTGATATTTTCTTGTATTGAGTACTATTTTAGCTTATGAAAAAAGTCGTTTGTAGAATATACCTCAATGTTGTTATGACGATAAGAATTGTGAGTTTGTGCAAGAAAACTCATTGTTATATGCTTCGTGAGTGAAGAATAACTTCTAAGTTTATGATAGACTATCAAACAGCCATTGAAGTAGATTTGAACTAGACTCGAGCTCAAAAACCTGAATGCCAAAGCATTTGAATTTTGAAGCAGATTATACTCTAAGTTCAAATGTTGTAATCATCATTCCAAGCTTTAGTCGAATAATCTCATCAACGTGGATGAATCACCATGTAAATCATGTTGGAAAGCCGACTATGAAATTAAGAATGTTGCAATGAATCTTTCTCACTTCCCCTTTGTGGTCACATTTAGATACATCTGTGGTATTCAAGAGGAGTCGACAATATGTTGGATATGTTTGGAAAGATCAGATGTTGTACACACTATGGCTCGAACTATTGTATGTGGCTCTAATTGATTTCTCGTCATATCTATCTATATATATATATATATATATATAGACACACACGTACAGATTTTGGTGCAACAAAATCAACTTGAAAGACTAGAAAGTCAACTTGGCAATGCAGCTCTACCTCCAGGCTGGCTCGAGCACAAAGTGCGAGAGATCAGAGTGAGGATTGCTGAGTGGGAGTATTCATCCATTTCCACGAAGAATATTACTTAAACTGGCTGCTGAGCAACGCAATCTCTTTTCAAGGACATCTTCAACATCTGCAGTTGTTCAGATATTCCCACTTCAAGACCTCATTCACACATTGCCATGCTGTGACAAGTTCTACATCGTGTGACGAATCTTTCTGAGTCGAATCTAAGTTGAAATTTTCAAAACTTCTCTAATAAACTCTCGACGCAATTCTTCTAATCTCCCGAGGTTCTCCAGAAGAGGGAAAAACGAAAGGGAAAACGAAAAAATGCTCATTGCTATTTTCAATCTGTTGTCGTCATTTCTCTTTATTACTACTATACATGAGCTGCTCATATTCCTCAATATGTCGGTGCACGCTATTATGGACGGACATTATCACCAGAGTCTTTCGAAACGCTCGACATCAGTTCTCTCGTCAGAAATTGACCAATGCATTCTATAGACATATACATGACAAAAAATATTTTCAATGTCCACCTGTGTTTTGAACAATTCCCGATTGCTGAATTCCGAGGTTGTTTTTGCCGAGTCAAAATGCAACTCAAGCAAGCACGTGGAGGTGAAACTGTTAGAATGTTACATGATGAGGATGTACAGAAAACAAACCCCGGCTTGAGAATGTACAACTTGGCCATGGAAATAATATTACAGAAGGTGCTTCATAAAGCTTGCATGGCACAGTTTTACAAGAATCTTTTCTGTCAAGAACATGTGAAATTCTCGGATCTACGTCAAGGAAAAGCTAGAAGTCGTGGTGTGAAAACCCCAAAGTTAGACTCATCTCTTGGAGAGATGATTAGCGGCACCAAGGAGTGTCCATCCTTGGGATTGTATTGTCCAACAGCATAGAACGAAGGAGGTGGACTGGCCACATCCACAGGAGTCGATTTATACAGTGTGAACAAAGTGGATCCGTCCGCGAAGCTTTTTCGTGGTGAATAAGAATTCTCACCTAAATGTTCGAGTTCCGAAAACAGGCTATACGGTAGAACATCAATCTCCTCACCCAGGCTGCACCCGAGTCCGTTCGATGGATAACTGAGATCATGAAAAGTGTCATCGAACCAGTCCATAAGTATTACACGTCCGTCGAAGGCAGCCAGATGAAAGCCACAGGGGAGAGAATCTGAATAAGACTGTATTGATATTTTCCAGACTTCGTCTTTGAACCGAAATACAGCAACCCCCTTGATGATGTCATTGTTGTCCAAGGAACGCTCCCAGACATACCAGTAGAGCTTATCGGAGATGGAAACAGCTGGATCTGTGTTGACCCAGATTCCATTCAGGCGTTTAGGCAGAGAAGGGAACCGAGCATTGGATTGTAGCCAGATCTTCGTGCTCGAGTCATAAATGTAAGTGATTTTAGGACCTTCATCATGAAACCCTGTGACCAGTAAATTGTAATCACCTGTGTCGCTGTTGACCATAAACCCGAACAAAATGTGACGCAAAGGACTGCACCAGTAGGCCCCCAGAGGAAGTCGTGGTAGTAGAGGCGACGGTAGCGCGAGAGCTCTCCAGTGTTTTGAAAGTGGATTGTATACAACGATGTATTCTGCTTTGTTGCCCTTGCAAAAACCTAGCAATCCTCCTCCAGCAGCAACGAGGTGATACGTTTCGTGGCGTCTCGCGAAAGGCAGAGATTCTCTAATCCAATCTCCTGAGCGATTGTTGCGGATGATAAGGCAAGGCCCCCATATCCTTCGACCACGAAAGGTGAAGACATAGCCAGGATTGCAATAGAAAATTGTCGTTTTCAGATCATGATAATGTCGAGCAACCTTGGGAGACGAGATAGACTCTTTCCACCTCTTGCACACGCGACGGTATTGCAGAAGGCTGGAGAGAGGCAACTTCGCTAGAACTTTCTCTACGATCTCGTGGTCGAGGTTCTGCCACGGGTTCGGTTCTAGCATCATTCGACTTGTGCTCGATTCCGATCGGCAAGTCTCTCGACTTGTGCTTGATTCCGGCTCCATGAGGAATCCTGCCAGCGTCCGGTCACTCCAAAGATTTTGACTATGATCTCCAAAGCGAAAGCCCGAGTTCCTTCTTGCCGCATACCTATTACGAAATCATCCCACGGCTCCCGTGGTTATGCAGTCTGTAGGGAAATCGACTTCGTTTCCATCTCGAATGCAGCACAAGATCTCCAGGTCCACAGCCTGCCACATGAACATCGCGTCATAAAACCGAAGAACATGCGCACACACCGACCAGGACGAAAGCCGTGAACGGTCCGGTCCACGGGAGCACATGAAAAGCTCAAACGGGAAAAGAAATGTCACGACGGCCGAGAATACAAATTTCGAGTCCTCTGAAATCCGTCGCCATTCGTCCCTCCCGTTCGGATTCGACTTCGACTTCCGTTGAGCCTCGGTCGGTCCAGAGGTCGAAGTTCAGATCGGAAATGAGGCGGCGCGGATTCCATGACTGCAACTGCAACCGGCGTACTCGTTTGTGTTTTGGGAGAAGTCGATTGCATCCCAACAATCGAATCCATCGAGTTTTAACGGATTACCTTGCAGGACCAAGAAATCGATGGTGAGGCACTCGAGTTTCAGGGGACCACCTCGAGTTGATCGGCCATGTGGAGTCCACTGATCACGTGTTTTGGCATAATCGATGAAAGCTCCCCCAGCACCGTGTGCGCAGCTCGAGCTGCTGTCACGCAAGCACGCACGCTCGCTTGTAGTGTTCCCTATGCGCTCATTTGCGGATGGGAATCTTGGAATTCAGTGCGAGAAGTTGGAAGATGTCGTGGACCGTCGCAGAGAATGAGCGGATTTGTATGTGCTGTAAGTGTGGAATGAAGTGTGGCCGTGAATTGCCTCGTCTCCATTAATGCCATATCACAGTGAGCTGAGCTGAGCTGAGTGAACATTGTCGCTAAGTGGAATCCGAGTCCCTTGAGACTTCGAACTAATTTTATCTTGAAAATGAATGTGCTTTGTCACCTCATCAGAAGACGTCTTCGATTGATTCCTCCATTCATCTTCCGCGTCCGACCGACTGATTCGCACCGCGTTGGTGGGTGGCAAACGCTTACAACTCTTTGGTCGAGCAACCTTTTGTCGTTACGAAGACCGATTTCTCCGTTATTCTCTCGAGCTGAGATTTCGATTCTCATCGCGTCTTGGTTTAGATGTTCACACGTCAACACGTCGGGCACTACTGTCCAGACATGTGTACCATCCGCCAATCGATTTTGATTCGCGGATGATTCCTCTTCCAGCTTGACAGGAACTGGTTTGAGTAGCAGACAAGATCGCAGATACATGGAAAGCAATTAGCCGCGAATTGAATAGCAAGGAGCGGTGAGCTCGAGGAATCGCGTCGAACGACTGATATCCTTCACTTACATGCTATTGCAAGTTTGCATTGAAAAAGATACTCATCTTAAATAAGAATTGTTCCCCGACTTGTTCCCTGAGACGAACATAGGCCAAGATATTCGGTTCATGGAATGAGGTTTTCTGAAGATTGGTGGCTCAAATCCAAATTTACCAATTCTTCGACGACAATCACTCGCGGACTCCATGGACTTGCCGCATGTTCGGATTATGGATTCAATTCAACGGGATAGAAACGCTCGAACCAGTCGCAGCTGTTGAATTGTGCTGAGCCCAACGCGAGCTCGTGAATCTGCAAGCGGCCGTCAATGTCCTGCCATCCGTCCCTCGGTACTCGATTCGAGAAGTCTCGTATCTCAGCCCTGGCTCGACGTGAGCGATGCTTGTGACTCATCCATCCATGGCGATCTACCCGTCGCCTGCGTGCAATCTTTCTCGGATCGGGTCCCAGATCGGACGAGCGTAGAGAGCGGCTTCTTCGGTTCACTAGCTCTCGGAAATTGTGGTCGTTCCTCAGCGCCGCTGCCTCCCTCCCGTTGTGTCCGACGAGCACCGAGTAGCGAATTTCGTATCGTCTTTGAATTTCTTGAAATTGTCGATCGAGAACCTTCACCCGGCCGAGACATTGCGAACCGAAGCGTCCGAATTCTACAGCCATGGAACCGATGAACACCAGCTGTCAAAGGGAACCTCGAAGAGACCGTAATGCTTCCCGTACGCAACATGCCTGTCGTCTGCCAGTCCATGAGGCAATGCGTGCAAAGCCAAGCACATCAAAGCGATCGACAACCGAGGACCACTCCACACGGTCCACGCCGCAGCTCGCGAAGGAACAAGTGCCACCGGCACTGCGTACAGATTGGCCATCGGCACAGCGACGGCTCAGCGCTCGCCCTGCCTCGCGATTTGGCTCAGGAGATTTTAACAATCGCCAGTCTGAGAGGCGACTGTGGCGGGCGAGAGAGAGAGAGAGAGCGACCTCGTAGGAGGTAGCCGCCGACAAGCCTTTGCATCGTCCGAATTATTCTACGGAATCGCAATCCCAAATAAAGACATGAAATCCGGCATGCCCATAATCTGCACAAGTGTTTCATCATCGGACGTGGCGAATTGGCATGTCGAGGTGAGTGAGATGAGACAAATCCCAGGACCCCAGGACTGAGCTCGCCGAGCTGCTCACGTGAAGCATTTGCACAGGGTCCTGGTGATCGCATGTATGTCGAGGCAGGCGGTCTCGGATTCTCGACAGCAGAGGGCAATACAAACGCGGTGCTCGTAAGCGTGAGTGAAGGGAGGATCGACAACATGTCGGAGATTCTGACGAGAGCTGGAGGGTCGACGTCCCCGGCGAGGCTCGAAGCCTCGCCCATCGATATCAGAGCGCTGCAGGCGAATCGAAGAGCCTTCGTCGCGGTTCGCAGCGAAAGGAGCGCGATCCAGCGGCAGCTGAAGCTTGCAGGACCGGCAGCTTTCGCATTCGGATTCGGACTCGGACTCGGGAGAGGCTTGAGTAAGAGCTTGAGTCCGTGCGCTTGGCGATCGGGAGATCCGGAGGCTCCTCGTGCCAGTGTCGTCGACAAGACGACGAAGTTGCTGCAGGACGTGTCCACGCTCTTGGTGTATCAAGAGGTGTTCAGCAAGCCTCCGGCGAAAGCGTTTTTGAAGGTGCTGGACTGCCTGTCCCGGAAGGATGCCGATGGCCGACTCTTCGAGTACTATGGACTGTTTTTCAAGCTCATGTGCATCACCCGACTCCCCAGCTGGAAGGATTACATCCTCGAGGCCATTCTCACATGCGAGAACAATCCTTTCGCGGAAGCAGCTGCAACTGCCGGGAACCCCAAGGCTCGCTGGACATCAGGCGCACAGGTTCCAGCGACATTGCAGGCGGCTGCTGCTTCTGATCTCGACACCCTGCAGCGGCTCAGTGTCTCGGAGTCGACATTAAGTGAGTGGGTGGCAGAAACGGAGGTGGATTACACTCCGGACTGGCTCATCGCCGTGTCCAATTTCGGCACCGAAACTTGCTCGCTCTTCAGAACCACTGCCAACTGCATTCCTGAATCTCAACCTTTTAAGGTTTCGGATCACCGAATTCGATCCTCGAGAATTGGTGAGGAGTCCACGAGTGCAAGATCCTTCGAATTGAAATTACAGAAGGCAGCTGATGGAGTCATCGAGCCCGGATACAGAATTGTGCCCAAGTCTGAGCAGCCTCATGGCGAGGCGTCTGCGTCGTCTTCTGCACTCCAAGTGGAGCCTGAGTGTCACAGCAGCAGCAGTTATTTTAGCAGAACAAACGAGTCACTTGCTCGGATCCGGGCACGATTGAGAGAACGTATAAAATCTTTCAGCAGGTGGTCTGATGCCGTGCTCTTGTTGGAAAGGTACCATGCCGTGTACGGCGTGGGATTGATTGCATCCGAGCAGTTTCTGCTAGTCAGAAGAGGGAATTTCTATCCGGACAAACAGGGATGGACAGCTAGGACAACCGAGGCATGCAATCTAAGAATTCAGAGAGACGAGAAAGAAATGCTCGTGAGGAACTTCACCAAACATGCCAATGGACGCTCGGCTCAGCATGTCCTGCTTTACGGTCCCAGTGGAGTCGGGAAGACTTGGCTGCTCAGATCAGCACTCTCCGAAGTCGCAAGCGGCGGAGATTTAAGAATCGTCACACTGCCTTCCTTCAGATGGCCGGAGGACGAACTGGGATCCGAAGATGGTGATGAAAAAGGATACAACTTTCCAAAAATTCTTCGACAGCTTGGGCTTCGCCAATGGAAACTTCGTTTCGTTCTTTTCATCGACGACTTGATGCCTTCGGCATTCTGCAAGCACACATTTAACATTCTAAAATCTGCATTCGATGGGAATCACCAGGAATGGCCGGCGAATGTCCTACTGTGTGCAACAAGCTCTAAGATTCGGACCTGCTCTGTCCATGTAAAATTTAGAGACATGGAAGTTCTGGATTTGGCTCATCTCTTCGGTCTCACCTGCGTCGTGAAACTCACGCCGCTCAATGAAGACGAATATGTGCATTGCGTTCAGGACTTACTAGAACAGAGGAGACCGAGAACGTCGGTCTCTTTGGAGACAAGTGTGTCCAGTGAAGAGGTGGCTCAGAAGGCCAAGCAATCCTGGGCTCAAAACCTCGGAGCCAGAAACCTCAGATCAGCAGCCCTGTTTGTGAGGACTTTGGACTGGTCGCTACGTTGAGTTTAGTCAAGCAACGAAATTGAGGTCCTGAACATTACGTCACAGAGCAGCACTACTATTGTCACGGTAATAGCACAGAGGGACGCGGACATTGGAATGTGTCGGAAGAGGACGAAGTGCAGGGCCGAGTGAAGGTGGAGGGAGAAATGGCGAAGCATGGAAGTGTCAACCAAGCAAGGCAAGAGAGAGAGAGCCAAAGTCGCCAGAAATTGACGAGGACAGGGGCCAGAAGTCGTCAGCAAGAGATGGTGCAAGCTCAACACAATTTTCATTGGTTTCCTTCGATGGACACGGACTTCAAGGCCGTCAGAACGGAAGGTCCCCGTCCCAGCTAATCAAACCTCGTCGCACTCCGAAGAATGTGTGCAACGTTTGAGGCTGACTAGAGCTCGAGATACACAACCTCAAGCTCCTTCGAACGAACATCTAGACTACTAGATGGAGAGGTTGCTCGGAAGAGGCAAGCGCATAATAGCTTATGCGCTTGGAAAGTCTAAGCCTAGGCCTGAAACCATAGTTGATCAGCAGCCATGCATGATCCTTACAGAGTTTAGTGGAATCTACTCCAGCAACGAAACTTGTTGACTAAAAAGACTGCACTCATTTACACATCGCCTGTTATCAAGGTCATTGGGAATTGACAAACTCTTCGATGAAACCATACGCTCGTCTTTAGCCACACTACATTTGCCCCGGGTAGCGGCAACCTTATGGAGGTTGCCTGTACAGCAGAATCAGTCCAGTCTGTATCACAGTTGCTTATAACTGACTCGTTTCGACTCAGGCGAGAAAGTCCCTCTTCCGAGTATGCGTGCTTTCATGCAAGTGTCAAACATTGTCGGCCTTCAATGGTTCTGTTTATGAGCGTATATTTGGACTTCTCCATGCTTGACTCGCGTGGTAATCCTTCTCAGAGTCTAGAGCGATCACATTCGTACTCGAGTCTAGAATGCAGGCATGACTCTTATCCTTTGATAAAGTCCTATTTATACCCATGTGCAGTGTACTCAGGAGCTTCTCATCGGCCGGCTGAGTATGCCGCGAAAGATAGCAGTGTTACAACCATTGTTCATTCATGTTCATGCTGGACTGGGGAAGAGTATGTATGAACCCTTGTTGTGTGATCTCTGGCAGATGGTGTAAGGGATCTGTCGTCACAGCTGAGCACGATTGGTAAACGTTTGTAAGCGGCTTTGACAAGTGCACGTGTAAGATGTCCAAGTACCCCAAACCTTAAAGGATCGACTTTCGTCGAACTTCGTTCGAACTGTGCAGACTGGATCTCGGACGTCCGCGTCAGGAACCGACGTAATTGTGAAAGAAATGGTTGACTCCCGATCATGATATCCAGCCGATAGGAAGCTAGGATCATGCAATGTTTCTCGTGATTCTTCCGAGCTTCCGCATCATCAAGTAGTGTCTCACAGTTTGTCCCTGCCGGTGAGATCGACCGAGAGCAGGGATGCATGCACACAGTGAACCGCAAGGTATAACTCGAAAGGTTTGCCACATACTTGAGCTACGTCGCTTGGACAAAGCGACGAGCGAACAACTTACCGGACAGGGCTCTACGGAGTGACGATGCTACTACGTGACCCATGTTCTTCACAACGAACAAAGGGCTGTTGACTGCTGTACCCATCGTTCTTCACTAGTGCCTGTACAGCAGCAGATAAATTTCCTCCATGCCACCGTAGTCCTCATGGCACCGGTGTCCGCGGTACAGATCTGGATGAACATTCATCCATGACATACGAGGCCCCGGTGTTGAACTCCGTTCTTATTGGCAGATACTCTCGAGCATGAGACCTGGTTCGAGTGATTCAATTGCTGGACTTCATCCCACAGTTGTGACCACAAAATCGATTAAGCTGCACAATTATTGGAAAATGACTCTTTTTTAACTTGTCAAGTTATATTAACTTGTTAACTTGTCAAGTATTATAAGCAGAGTTTTCCTCTTTTTCCTTTCCACTCGTTGGTGGCACTCCTAGGCTAGTACAAGTACAAAGTCGGGTCCTCCGATGAATACGCAAAGTAGAGTCTGGGTCAAACACAAAGTGTAATGTCTCGCTGGATCTCTTCTGCATTCATGCTGATGCCGGTCAAAGTCCCCCTCTTGCAAACGAAATTTGTTGTAATGTACACACGACTAAACAGCATATAGGGAATCAATATCACATTGGAGAGCACGAAGAGATTGCCATTTGCTACTACCTGCGAACTTACCATAGCATGCTGCAAACAATTACAATATCTTATCAATTTGTGAATTTGTGTCGACAGAAATTTATCTCATGTGTTTGAAATGTCAATTTTGAGAAAATTGATGAAGAATTATGAAATATCGTAGATTGAAGATTAACCTTTTAAATTCAAATAGATTAAGTGGGATGAATCTTTTGATTACCACTAAATTACATGGTATAATATAGTATTCATCGTGGTCTTTAGGTACGAATCGCAGGATGTAAGTTTGCGAAAATTTTAGACAATTTGCAGCTATGAATAGATGAAAATTTTCATCTAAATAGATGAAAATTTTCCCCGTTTTTTGGGAAATCCGTTTATGAATATTTCGTGTGCGTTAGAAGATGTATAATATCAATAAATGTGAAATAATTAAATAATATAATCATAACCTAATAATTTTAAATTCAATATAATACAATAACTATGTAAGATATCATTGCTAATACTACTATTAAATGTAATATTTATTTGAAATCGTATAATTTATATTTTGAAATATCATCCAAAATCAAATTTCATACTTGATGATCATGTAACAAAATTTTGGATGAAATTAAGAAAGAAAAACTATAAACAAAATATAATAGTAAAATTATATTTCGCATCAATCTTGACTTAAAATCTAAATGATCACAACCTATACTGAAAAAAAATTTCCCTGTTAAAATTTATACAAAAAGTTGAAATATACTTACTCCTCACAATTGATAGTCAGGAAGATTTAATTTAATCTGTTACATCCTTGTAATTGTGATATAAGTGGTGCCATTACACATTCAGTTTCATGTTGTTTGTCTGGGTCACCGGATGCTCACTTGGCCCCTCTCTCCTAAGAGTGAACATCTAAGCGGTCGGCGAGGAATAGACTGCACCGAAACGGCACGCACGTGGACGATCACGCTGTACTGAAAGTTGACCACACCGTGTGCTCGAGTGGCCGTAAAGTGCAAAATGCACCACGCTGGCAGTCCAGGCTGGAGTGAGATCCGAACCTGCGCCGAGCCGAGCCATGGCAGGGCCGGGGCCAGGTCCGGCGGGCAGCCCAGAAGGACGGGGGCACGGGAACGGGAGACGCAGACGACGACAGTGGAGAAAAGTTGGCTCGCCGAGGGCGAGATCTTGGCCTCAAGGGGGCCAGCTTGACGAAGCGCAAACTTCGCGAAAGAATCTATGGCATTCAAATTTGGGCAGCATTTTCGAGCGGCGATCGACAAATGTCGTGACGTTGCTGCAGCGATTAGCACTCGCTGCGCAACGAGAATTTGTGGTCGAATGGCATGAATCGAACGCGCAATTCGCAGCTCTGAGCGATTCGCGAGACGACGACGAACCCTAGTCGTGTGAGCGAGCATGTCCCTGTAGACGAGGAGCTTTCCCGGAGCAATCTCTCACCTCGTCCTTCTCCTCCTCGCATTGCGTAAGCTTCACTCGCTAGGGTTTTGTCTCACGAGCTCTCGTGGCAGTCGGACGGACGACCCACCGCACCGACGAAGGCGACTTTCCACGAGTCCTGTCGAAGCGAAAGGAGATACTGCCCCGCGCGATCGCTGTTGTTGTTCCGAATTTGAGAATGCTTTTGGCTAGACATGGCTCAGCTACTGGCCTAGCCTGGCACTCGTAGGGTGTTTTCAGCATTTGCTGCAGACGAGCGCTTGCTGAGCATACACGTTCGGAGAGTTCGGAGATTGTCGGATCGATTCCTGTGGGAGCACGCACCTCCGCTGTCGCAGAGGCCAGCTCCTCTTGGGATTTCGGGCGAAGAAGATTTTGCTTCTTGTCGATGAACTTTGTTTCAGCTTTGATTCACGGTCGAGGAGACCCCGATCATCGATAGATCCAGATTCGACTTTTTAAGACGCGGGGATATGGCTGGATGTCCCGAGGTGGGGTGACTGAGGAATTCAGAGTTGCCGTGTGTTGGGAAATTTCGAGAATTGGAGCTGTGGGGAGCCTTGTCGCAATGGGCATTCCGACTCCTGTAAGTGTGTTGAAAGTATGCCTTCCTGGATTTGAATTTTTTATTGGATTGCGAGAAGTCTGTCTGCGTGCAAATGAGTGCCGAATCACGAACGGTTTTTAAGATTCGTATTGTGTTAGTCCGAGCTACTCATTGGCAATTTCTAGCTCACAGGTTAAGCCTCTTGTGCACCTTCTTATTCCAGCATATTAGGCAAAGTGGCACCTCTCTTGTAGACATTGTTGTATCATTTTTAAGGATAAGTTTCTGGAAAACAATATAGATTTTTTTGTCCTACCTGTGCAATTAGTAGTCCTATCTATCTACCTCTCCAAACACAATATCTTGAGTACCTATGATGGTGACAACATCTGCTAGCATGTTATGGTCGACCAGGGGTCTCCCACCTGGCCGCCAACTCAGAACCGTACGTGACAGTTTCCCGTCCTACGGCTCCTTGCATCCCATCGAGCCAGTTTCCTGAGAAGTGCGCTTTTCCGTCGTATTTTGGTCATGCCAGTGCCCCGCCCTACGGGCCGTTATCACCAGACTTTTTCCTGGTAATTGCCTACCAGCAGCCAGCCTTCTCATGCGCGGCCCCACTCTTGTGCATCACTCACCCTTGATATTTCAGCTTCTCCGCATTCCTCTTAGTTACGCTGAAACTTAATGAATGACTAGAGCAGGCAATTTTTGTGCTTGATGTCAAATTGTGTTTGGATATGAATCAGGTAGAAGAGCTGGCGTGGTTAGTGAAAGACAACCTGTACGCTAAGCACCTCGTACTTTCTGTCGAAGAGTTGTTCGTGGAGTTTTTGGAATGTCCCCTGAGGTGAGGTTTTAACTTATGAACCGTGGGACCATTTCTCAGTAAGGACTTCTGGACGGGGTTATGTGTATGCTTCTGCAATTTTAACCTGGTAAGTCCAGTTAAGTTGCAATCGTGTCTGAGTACTGTGTTTTCTGTTTCAGCGAGGAGGAAACGTTGGCACTGGAGCCAATGGTGTCTTACCAACGTATGTTGCTGCATCGACTCGCTGATCTCTTTGGGTAAGAAATCCAAGCCTTTTAACAGGGGAATATTGCGCTGAAGGACTCATTTTCTTGCGGGGCACAGGAAATATTAACAAACGGAAAGTACACCTTTTACAACGATGTATTTGTTTGCTTTACATCCACGGTCATCGACGTATAAGGAAGATCGTTTGTTAACTACTGTTGCAAAAGTTAGCCTCCCTCGTTTCTCGGAACCCAGCGTGTTTCTGAATCCTGCGTCTTCAACCCAACCTTGGTTGGTTGAACCTAGAGAGTCATTCTAGTACCCTGCTTGAAGCCATCTATAGAAGCCACGTTCAGTTTGCTGCAGGTTTGTAACATTTCTTCTTAGCAGATGAATGGCTTGTAATCGTGGCACGCCCTTTGATCAGTCTGGCTTGAAAATTTGATTGCACCTATGATTTTACCAACAGGTTGGCACACGAGTCCGTGGGGGAAGGAGAAGAAAGGCACCTTGTGGTGGAGAAATGCGAGGAATCACTAATGTAAGCATAGCAGTTATTTTTCTAGTCGGCAGTCACCTTACAAACCCATTTGTAGAGCTAGTATGTGTCATCGTTGAACTTGTTCGCGGTTTTTGTGTATCTGCTTGCCGATAACAGGGTCACGTTTATTTTCATGTAATAGTTTATATGTGATTACTCAATATTTGACTAGTTTTCTGGACTGAAGTCGAATTTTAATCTTCGTGTAATGTTTAGATATTCGCTAACCCTACATTGAGCCCCTGGATTCTTTGCAGCCCTGCGGTGCTTGTGAGTGATGTACTAGAACACAATGATGGAGAAGCACATCACCCTCAGTCTTCTCGGCAGCTTTTAAAGCGCCATGCATCTCCAACAGGTTTGTCTGCCTTGGCTCCACTCGAAACAACAAGTCGTTGAACCTGCTGGTTCAGACTTGGATGCAGTAGCAAGCCTGATACCTGGATGTCGTCGCAGAGAGGCCGAAGTTTCCTTTTACGGCAAATAAACACCTTGCTTGACTGCAAAGACATCCAGAGTACACCGTAGGATTACGATATTACATGCACTCTAGCTCTCGCTACATGAGGAATCCAGGGATGTTTGGCTGGGAGCAAACGCGTTGGACGTTGTTGAGAGGCCTAACATCATTCCCGCTTATATGTTCTCAATTAAAAATGCAAGCTTCAGATCAACTTTACTTACTAAGAGTGAGGTATTTTTTGTTTTACTTGCAGATGGTCTTCAAGGTCAAGCGTTGGTAAACACACCTGGCTTGTCCTTGGAAGAGAGGCAGGCAGCGTATTTAGCAGCGAGGCAAAGGATATTCTCTGAGAAATGGAAACATGCGGATGAGAATACAAAGGAGTCTGGACATGCTAGGCCGCGATCGGATCCTGTAGTCGCTCGGAGAATGATCGCGCACGCTTTAGGAAAGCCCAAGCTTTTGGCTGTCACTAGCCCCTCGATTGAAGTGATCACGCCACAAGACTTAGTCATTCAGTTTGGCGAAAGAACGACCGACGAAACTCCAAGCACCACACTCGGAAAGCTAACTTCGGAGGAGACGAAGGAAGCAATGCAACAGTCTTCGGTCAAAGCTGCCAAGAGAATGTTCGCCAGCGCTCTTGGTCTGCCACCGTCTGGGAGCTCACCAAGGTTTCCTTCCCGCCAGGTTCCATGCAGGATAGCTGTCAATCCAGTTGTCAACTTGGTGGAGGAATCTACTTTATCGCCATTACCTGCTTCTGGTACGATTCTGTAATCCATCATGTGTTGTACACGGGTCTTTTCTCTTCTTTTTTCTCATGCTGGGTCAGTAGGTACGACTCCCAGTTCCTCATGTGTGATGCTATGTGTCACGTCTATTTGCAGAAAGCTGTAGGCCACTTTCACCTGGAGGGCTCAACGTGCCTGCTGGTGGAGTACAAATCAGGGAGAACATCGCGGTTATCTCTTCTCACAATGACGAAGTTTTTTGTGAAAGTGTCCACAAGACTTTTAGCAGTCCTACCATGGCACAAGTGAGACCATCGAGAAATTCGCGACCCGGCGTTGCAGCTTGCAGGATATTTGCGCAGGCTCTTGGGCTTCCAGATCCTGTCTGTTCATCTGAAGTCAGTAGATCTCCTTCCCATCACAGGGGTGGCTCTCTTGCCAGTGGCTGACATCTCTTGTTCAGTATACTTTCATTCTTTTTGCTTCCGGTCTTCATCTTGCGAAGCGCAGCTGCGAGAAAAGGGGCGACACACCCGGGTTATGCTCTTGGCGTTGTACAGGTGCCCTAAGAAGGTTCGATAGCGATGCAGATGGAGGTCAATTGGGAAAATCTCCATCAAACTTTTTGTAAAATTTGATACAGCAGACTAACAGATTCTGCAGTTGTTGGACGAGAACTGCCTTCTTGACGGTTCTCAATTGGCGTTTATGAGTTGGTGACGAATATAGCATAGCTGGTCGGAGCGCACGGTGACGCTGACGCGATTGTCCACAGTTTCCAATGTTGGCGACGCTTGGTCTTGTGAACTCAACGCACCCAGTTATCCCTTGAAGACAAACCCCCATAATGTGCACAAGTCGCTTTGGTCCTGTTTCCCCATCACTTTTCTCTGTGATGTTTCTGTACATGTTTTAGATAAGACCAGATAAATGAAGCCAGGTTTCCTAGGGGCAGCTAGGATCGTGACCGATTGGATACAGTGTAAAGGCACAGTTTTGACACTTGAATCATGATTATCTCACCTTGTTATTATGTTGTTATAATTATGATATAATTGGATACAGCGTAATCATACAGTCAATTTCAAAGATTCCTAATATTCAAATAAGAGTTGCCTCTGTCATATTTGCCTGACATACTTGAGTGTTGACTCTGTCATATTTCGAACGTTAACCGACAGGAGTTTTCGAGAGTTTCCGTGGTGGAATTGATGGAGTATCCTTAAATATGGATGTCGACTGCAGAGTTGGTAGGATATTGTATCTACTGATGAACAATGGCTTCGTCTGAAAAAGTTTGAAGGTGACGGCCTGTGATTGGCTTACGATATGTCAGCTAGAAGGCGACAAGTCCTGCATGAATCAAACGTAGGCATTGCCCTGTGACATGCTTTTCCATGTACGCGTAAGAGGCGAATTTCTATCTTATGTAAGCATTGTAAGCAAGTCTCCCTACTCTTACCTATTTTCGCTTCGAAAGCATGTTGGAAGACTGTATAATAAGCATCTCCACAATTTTCTCACATAGTTCGGATATAAATTAATTACACTGGTGACTACTACCACTGCTCGTACCTACGACGCTTTTCGACGCCTTTCTCGTCCGTGATGTCAACTTATGGCGGTCAACTCAAAGTAGTTAGAGGGGATGACAAATAGGACAAAAGATCACCAAATGATCGGAATAATCAGCCATGTGGGCGCATAGGATGAGGAATAATTTGACTACAATTTGGGGCGTACATAGCCTCGCTGATCAAGGTTGGTGCTCGTAAGAAGTTTTGTATGACAGCCAAACTCCTCGAGTACATCTTCGAACTGTCGTCATATGAATTGATACTTTACAGTGCTTTTGCAGGTTGTCGCTTACGATGTAATGTAAGCAAGTGTCTAGTCGAATCTCTGGACAGTAATGTGTTTCAGCCTATACCATACGTCCCCTTCCCGTCAATCTTTGCACGATTTGCTCCTATGTGTCGGCCCACGCAGTCAGGACCTGGTAGTAGCTGCAAGAGGAATCTTCCCTAGGAGCTTTCTACAAGGAAACTTTCAGGAAAGATCAAGCATCTCGCTCCGCTGACACATCGTTGCACAGTCCCTTTCTTTTCAATCAGAAAGGTCAAAACTGAAGGCCACCAAACTCTACAAGTTTGTACACGTCTCGGTCTCAATTGCCTATCTACCTATTTACTCTGAAAGTTTGGACTCAATCTGCTCCAGGCTCAAGCCCTTGGTTTCAGGTACTTTGAAAAACACGAAGAAGAAAGCCCCTACGCCGACCAGACCAAAGAGTAGGAAAGTCGCGGACACACCGATCAGATCCTGCTCACCACGTTTGGACTCGGATCAGAATGTTGAGTGAAAACTCTTTCTCTGTTGTGTTTCTTCTCCAAGTAGATTGCACAAAACTTCCATATCTCAACCTCAAACCGAAACCTAGCGACTAGTAAGCACAATCAAGCTGTTGAAGGACAAATTAATCGGCACTACGACCTCTCGAGGTGAAAACTCTGCATGAAGAACATCTTACCTGAATGGGTGCAAATGAGAAAGCAACCACAGCGTTGGAAGCGAAGTTGATGAGCGTTGTCAAACTCAGAGCTTTGCCCCTCGTGCGCAGAGGAAATACTTCGGACACCATCAGCCATGAAATAGGGCCAAACGAAACCTGCATAATAGATAACGCAAACGTTTTCTAGTGAGAACATATGCAATCAGTCAGGTGAACTGCTTCTCGTCGATCTGATTTGAAGTCATGGAGAGATTGGAGGAAAAACGCGTTCTCGTGACTTTCCACTTGAGCGCCACCTACTGAACTACACTAATAATACGGATTCTCGACTGCAGTCACCCAACTTGCAAGCGGTAGGAGTTCCATGAAGCTATGGACGGCAATTTGTACCTGGTACGAACCGACGTACAGCAGTAGAGCACCGACCGCCAAAACTGGAACTCCGGAAGCGAAGGAATAATATGCTGACAAGAGAAGGAGACTCGCAACCTGGCCAAACAAAGTTTGCTGTGAGTTTGAGGACGGCTATGCTGTGCACATTGATGAGAACCTTTTTCAGCGTTGCCAAAGACTCGCAAGCTTTTTGGCGAGGCTTTGGCGAATCTTTTGCTGTTACTTCCATAGCGAACAACAGCTGGAAGCATTAGGAAGAAAGCAAGAGAGAAGTTATAGGGAAGAAAGCCTCACAATTCCGGTTACACCTCCGATGAGTAAAGGTCGGCGACCAACTTTGTCCACGTACACAACAGCAAACAAAGTCATAATTAACTGCAAAGCAAGTCAAGCACAGGGTTTAGTAAAAGTGTCCAGTATTGAGTCCGGATTCAGCCAAATTGCACGATCAGTTGCAAAAAACAACACCTTTTTTAAGATGTGCACGTACTAAAAGATGACCCACCTTGAAGAAGCCAAGAAGAACTGAAACGTTTGTGGCATCTGCAGCTGCTGAAAATCCTGCACTCTGAATTACAAACCAAGACGACACATATCAGTTTTGACGAGGCCCTTCTTTACATGCAATATTATTCATGGTGGTCACCTCTAACCAAGGAAATATGAAGGATTGGTTGTAAACCGTTGATTCGCAGCCTAAAAAATAGAGCTGGAGACATCTCCTCTGATAGAAAAAAACCAGGCCAATCTAGAAGCTGTATCACGTCCAGTTGGACGTACATCGTATCAGTGTCTGCAACATACCTGAAGAATTGGGGCGGCGTAGTATAAAACACTCGGCTGGCCTGTCACCTGCAATAGACATCCGAGGGAGTCATCAATATTGCATCTAAACAGTTCTGCTTCTCACTTCCACAAGTCAAGAAAAATGTAGGGCTGCAATTAGGCAGCCACCACAAGGTTGCAGGAAAGTACCTGCTGAAGGAAAACCAAACCTCCTCCGATGAGTAGGGCCTTTCGATTTAAATTTCCCTGGAACAGTTCTCCGAAGGTTGTCTCTTGTGAACCTCCAGCACCATTTTCTACAGATGCCAGGGTCTCAGCTAGCTCTGCATCAATTCCATCTTGACCTCTCTTCACCCCTCGGAGCTTGCTCAGGGCATTCATGGCTTGACTTTTTGCTTCTGCGAGATTCGTCTTCCCTTGCACTGCTCTAAGGAGCAACCACCTAGGGGATGGTGGAAGCCAAAATACTCCCAAGCCCATAAGGGCGGCCATTGGTACAGCAGCGCCAAACATTACACGCCATCCTCCGAGTGTGCTGATTTCTAAACTGCCCACGAGGTAACCAAGCTGTGAAAACAAGACGACAGAAAGTAGAATCTGAGCGGAAGTTCTCTGCCCACTTAGTCAAACTAATAAATTACACCTTCGGAATGCAACTCGGAGATGGCGGCAACACAATATAGAGAAAAAGGCGCAACCTTTCTCATCAATATCCACCGAACTCGACGTGTCCCCAGGACCCATGTACAGGAAGAGTGTAGAAATATCGAGACAAAATCGACAAACAGAAGGTGAAGAAGAAATCAATGGACAGTATCTTACCAAAATTCCTAATACAATCAAAGCTTCCTTCAAGGAAATCAGAGTTCCTCGAATGTCAGTTGGAGCAGTCTCTGATATGTAACACGGAGCTGCATGCATGGCCTGCAAAAGAGAAATATCGCAAAGTTTTCAGATGACTAGTCATCTTTCGCTCGTAGAGGTGACGTAATGTTTAGATGCATATTCTAGCATGAAATAGTATATCTAGCTGCATTACCAGTCCAATGGCAGTTCCATAAATCAGCCGCCCTGCTATAAGGATGGGCAAGTTTGGTGCTAAGCCCGTCACGGCAGCGCCTACGGCATACGTTATGGCGGCAACAATGAGCTCCCGACGCCGGCCTTCACAACATAGAAATGTGTTCGAGGTATTTTTCAGACTCAAATTACTGGTGAGATCCAGACACCTGAAATTTATTTACAAATGCAACGGATAACGACCGAAAGACTATCTTCTTCTACTGTCAAGCTATGAACTCATTTTGCTTTACCTACTGAACACATCTTCACCCCTGTCACCAACTCTTGAGAAATTAGAAAGAACAAAAAAAGCTTCGTACCGAGAGAGTCTGCTACGTTGAAAGCAAGTATGGATCCCAAGAGAGCACCATAAAGTGATCCACTGACCTGTGAAAGGGAAGTTTGATGGGGCAAATGTCAGTATGCCGCTGTAGACTAAGAATAATAAATTTTGCCTCCCGTAAAATGTTACAAGAAATTATTTCAGAGTCATGAATAATACTCTAAGCGCTCCGTGACTCAAAATTTTAAAGAATGGACATTCTTACCACAAGCCCGGTTTCGATGGATGACAGGTTAAACCAAGTTGTTCCGCTTACATCTGCTGACTGCAACGTAACAACAGCATGCGTCAAAGAAAATCACCACTGTATTATCAGCTCATGAACAGCACCGCACTTTCCGTGATTTACCATGGACTCATCCTCATCATAGCTGGAGAGAAATTCCAGGTGTCTATGCAAATCATGACAAATCGCAAAGCACAACTCACTGAATCAGCTGAAATCGACACTAGGTGCACAAAATCTTCAAAGATATGGTTGGTTAGACTACCGTTAAAGATAAAACAGCCCCTCCAGTGGCTCCAATGTCATAACCGAACAGCAAACCTCCAAGAGCTGGGAAAAGAAACCTGCAACAGGAATTGCAAATCATAAGACCACCTTTGACTGAGAGATGACGGGAGTAATGACAAGTACTTCTTTGCAATAACCGACTTGATGACTCTTTCAAACGTGAGAATAGGGGAGTACGAGAGTGCGCTTACGGGGGAACGACCGATTGATAAGTCCAGGATTTGTCATAATCCCCTGACGAAATAAGTGGTTCTATCAATCCTTCACTCTCTACATCCGCCACATCTCCTTTTGCCTGCATCTGCATCCCAACCAAAAGAACTGGATTACTTTCCTCGATATCTCTACTCCGTATGAGGCCCACTGCAAGGGTTTGGTCTCTATGTCGCCGCAGACTCATTCAGCCCTATCTATCCGCCTTAAAAGCCAGTCAGTCCCTAGAACAATAGCCTTCCGCAGCCTACACCAAAGGACTCCACCTGTGAACGTCCCTGGATGTGATGGAAAATGGTTCTATACTCAACAAGATGACTGAATTTTAAGATAGATTAAAATCCAGTAATAATTATTCTCCCCTGCCATGAACGAAGCTCCGTGTTCGTATCGGAAATTCGGCCATTGTTGGCTGAGGTTCTCGACCATCAGGCATGCATGGTCCAATCCTATCTCCAAGGTCCAAATTAGACCCAAGATCGACAAACACAAGTCACTAGTTAGATGGTAAGCCTTCCTTCTTTTTCTTTATCCCCCAAGTTGATGCCACCACTGCGACTCTTCGACCGGTACTATTGCCCCTAGTAACAATGCTGCCCAGTAGAACGAAGGAACAAATCACTGACAAACCCGCAACTACTGTAGATTTCAGGGTGAATTGGAGTTGCACCGGCCAGAATCGGCTCAACAACCTGGCGTGCTCGTGGACACAAAGTGGCATGCAGAACCTAAGCCTATCCTCATCCTCATGCCCATCCGACTAGCTGTAGTCCATGGGCACTCCGTCCCCCTTCCCTTAAACTAGACCAAGTCCGAATTCCACCGCGCTGTGCTGTACATCGAATCACATCGAGAATTTCGAGTCTGAATGACGCTGCCGGGTGCAGAGCAAATTATGAGCACCTTTGCACCAGAGGACAACGACTGACCCTGCCTCCACTCCACTCCGCTCAGCTCAGCTCAGCTCAACCAAAGGACAAAGGTCACCACTGTCATTGGCAAATTGGTATCAACCGGAGGACGAGAGTCAAAACTACAGAAGCTGATTCTGCCAAACTGGCTCTTCTCACCGGACGACTACTCGGATCCATAGTTCCATGCTCCTCCTCCTCCTCGAGGGCAACCTCCGTGATTTCCATGAGGAGATGTAGCGGCAAATGAGGCCTGACCCACTGACCGGGACGGACTCCACCGTGAGCTTCGACGCCCAAATCAAATCAAGTGTCAGTCAGTGCAGCGCAGGTGACCTCGAGAGACAGAAAGCGAGCGCGCGCCAGAGAGAGAGAGAGAGAGAGACCTTGAGAGAGCGATCGCTGAGACTAGCCCATCCGTTGCTGAAGCCGTTGGCCATCTTCTTCTCGTCCGAGCTTTGCAATTTGGCCATCGGGATCCACCCGCTGCTGCTGTTGGCGTTGGCGTTGGAGGTGCTCCTGGCCGCGCCTGCCCTGCCCACTGGAACTACTCCGGCATAAGAACGAGCTGCGATTGATGATCCTGCTGCTTTAGTAAGCCCGGCCGCACCAGCCGTTAAGCCCGCGGAGAGCAATGATCCAGCAGCTGCTGCCATGGCTGCCCCCGCGCACGTAAGCTCCTCCGAGACCCTTCCTTTCCTTCCCTTCCCTTCCCTCTCCCCTCTCCCTCTCCCTCTCCCTCCCCCTCCCACAGTCTCGCTTCGCCCTTCGTCAGTCTGTCCGGTCGCCCCTTCGATTTCGTCCCTCCTCCCTCACGTCTGCCCGCTGCTCTGCACGTTCCCGGCCAGTCTCCAGGTCCCGACGCGACCGGTCAGAGAAGCGGGCAGCGGAGCCGCCCTCGAGCCAAAAGATTCAGGTCCGGTCACAGTCCAGTACAGTACACGATCGCTCGCTACGAGTTCAGAATTGCGAGCAGCTCGACGCAACAAACTGCTGCTGCTGCTGCTGCTGTTGTTGCTTCGTGGTGTCCCGAGCTCCGACCACAGCTACCAGTCGTCGGAGCAACGTATCGTCGTGAGTTCGCAGGCACAGTTCCATGGAAAGTCAACATGTATAATACGACCGAGGGAGGAGATGGAGTCTGCTGATTCTAGTGGATCTCTTGGGACCACCTCGCTCGGATGGTTGGTTGGTTGGAGATGGGCCTGCCTCCACGGCAGTTTATTAAACTGTATTATTCAGACTTTCACGCGTCGAAGAGTCAAGAGACGCACCAAATAATGCACAATGTGTCCGCCCTGCTCTCGCCACGAGCCATAATGTGTCGAGACAGAAGCGTCGTCGACACGAGGGAGGGAGGGAGAGGGTGGGGGTTGGGGTTGGAGGCCGATGAGGAACCAGAGGAACTCCAGCACTTTCTCTCGTTGTAAGTGGACCACGAAAATGGAGGAGGAGAGGAGAGCAGCGAGCAAGGTGTCTCCATTTTAGTCCTGAAATCGGTGTCGCCAGAAGTGTCGGGCCATGTGTCCCACCCTCCTTCCTATCGGCGAGCTTCAAATCCACATCCATCCTCAGCTCCATGACTCCAAGTGTCGGCCCCTCCACCCTCCTGCATTTCGGGATCCCTCCGACCTTGCTCGGATAATGTGGAGCCTCTACCTCCAATCTGGGTACTCCCCATCATCCAGACTAAAGCGCCAGAGATCTTGGATGTCCTCGGCAGATAAATTTGGTGCGCAGATGAAGCATTTGTCCGGACGATTCTCTGCTACGGGGCCAATGCACTGCCGATAGCGTCCACCACTTTTCTGGATCTGTCCTTCTCTCTTGCACTCTAATTCGCGTTGGCGTTTCCTTTTCTACACTGCTCGACGTACACTAGAACATTACTTCGTAAACGGGTGGTACTGAAAAAAAATTTGGGTATGTAATGATGAAAAGTGGCCTCCTTATACTCCATCCCGTTTACGAATAACAAGTCAAAGTAGGTGGGGGGTAAAATCTTGCAGCATCTAATAAATTAAGAACGCTATATCATAAATGAAATTATTTTTTCTTAACAATTGTTGAATCCGATACAAAATTTGATTTTTTTCAAATAGAATTGCCCGTTGCCTTTGCCACAAGTAACATTACGTCACTTATCTCCAAGACTACACGTGAGAAGAAAATTATGTAAATCAAATCTAGACTAAATTCATAATGGGATCGATGAACTATTTTTTCACAAATCCAAATTTAAAATTCACCCAAAAAAATTCACGAATCTCAAGACGAGTGGAATCCATAATCTAAGTTAATCTCTTTAATTATTAAAATTCCCAAGCGTTATGAGGCCTGGGGTGGACTCTATCCGAACTCGTATCAAATATCGCTCTTTTCTGATTTTTCCAATTACATATTGCGCCGCCTTTTGGGTGCTCGACTCATGCGAATCCTTTCCTCCGTAGGTCTGTAAACTTGAATTGCAGGAGCAGTGGGATTTGAACGTACATGGAAGCGCATCCAGTTCGAGTGATATCAGTGTGTTACACCCCGCTTCAACAAGCTCGATGTTGCTCCCTTCATCGAGTGTGAAGAGCATGAAGAGAAAAATAAAAATCAGATTTATTACTATGGCAAGCTCTTATGGCAGTCGATTAACTCTTGGTACATTTTTGAGAGGGACATAAAACGCCAAAAGAAAGTGTATTCGGGTCCAGAAAAACGGACAGTTGCGCGAGGTTGTCCGTCAGAGTTTGTCCAAGAATCTGGAACGAGTGCAAGTTCGTGTCCCATTCCTAGGGCGGTGAGACAACACGAAGCCGTTCGTCAAAACTTTTCTTACAACTGAATCCAATTGATCATAGCTTCAAGTCAGCGTATCTCAACCCAACCCGACCGACATTTCCACTCTCCCCCACCAAACTTGGGGACAAAAGAATATTGTTAGCGATACTCGGAGCACTCCTGCACGAAGTAGAGATGTAAGTCCACGAGACCAGCTGATCATTTGTGAACGCAAGCAAATAATTCACTCCAAATGTGAGCTGATACATTTGATTCAGCCTCCGGAAAGGACTGCGATCGAGACAACCGATTTTTTAATACGGCATTTGATATATGTAAATTGTCTTTCAGAAATTCCTTGATCAGATCGTGTCATTCGGATCAAAACCACAGCAGGATTATTACTTTCATTTTTGTGGAGACACGGGGGTGCCCAAGAGGCCGTGGTGGGAGGTTGGTCCATGTTTTTCTTCCGTCCAAAATAAATGAATAAGTATCAATATTCATATTTATATAATGGAAAGGGAATTACCGAAGGCCGTAACAGGTCGTAAACATTCCTGCTGCAGGCTAGGCTGGGCTGACCAGTCGGGCCGCCGCCGAGGCCTGCAGTGCATGATTGGAGGACACGAAGATGTCGTATTCACAGGCGTCGGTGTGAAACATGTGCACGATCATTGATGGAGAAGCAGATAAGATGATTTTGTGCATGATTCTCGCCCATGATCCAACGCTACAGAGAATTCCGATCGGTTCGAATAATAATTGTGCTACGGCGGGCACGGGCATGGGCATCGCCCAGATTCCGAGAGACCGGGAGTATCTCGTGCGAGACTGGGAGCAGCCGGTTCCCAGACCGGCGGACCAACAGGCAGCAGAAGAAGCAGATACTGTACTACATAGTCCAGTACTGTGCTCTCTACTCTACAACGGCAGCTCGGGACCCTTTGTAGAGACGCAAAGGGTCAAAGCGACAGACGAAAGGAGGAATGGAGATGCGGACATGGAGGTGTCTCGTGCGGCTTCTGCCTTGGCTTGCACTCCACTGTCTGAAACGCAGGGCCTTGAATCCGCAACATCACCCGCTGGAGATGAAATTCTCAGCTATAGATGCTCAGTTCCAGCTTCCGTGCTCGTAGACCTGCAGTTGAGGCTGGACATGGTTTCAAGCATCTAGGCTTCAGACCCTTTTTTCATGGGATCGGAGAGATCATCCCGTTCATGCATGCACGCGACGTTCTCTCCTCCTCTAATTAAATTCTTCTTCTGCTTTATTTGTCAATTTCCAGAATATATAAACCCGGTAGACTGCGAACATCGTCAGAGGCTTCGATTCTTACAACTTACACTTGGTCTCTCCGAGGGAGATATGTACGGTTGTGAGAGCTTCGAGCAGCAAACCTTTGGTTTCTTCATATTTCCTCCACTTCACTTTTCTCCTGATGCTCTCATTCATTCCACAATATTCTGTCTTTTACTCCAGTGACCACCGAATTGAATTTCTGGTCGAGAATTTTCTTCATTTTCTATGAATTTCGTGTAGCTCCGGCAACCTCCAGGGAATCAATGTCTTCCCCCTATTTAAGGCAGGGTGAAGCTCGAAGCAGGGAGATGTACACGATGTCATCTTCAAGCAACGACCTTTCCATTGTTTGTCAATTCCTCCACTTAACTTTTCTCCCGATACATGAAATTCTTCCACTTTTGTTTTATATTATTCTTCCCATCGACCGGATTACAATCCCCAGTCGAGAAATTTCAGCAGTTTCTTTTTGTGCTTGCAATCTGATCGTACACGTACTGTAGAGCAGGGTGAAGCTCAGAGCAGAGTGTTGAAAGGTGTTGAAAGGTCTGCATATACTCTCCAAAAACAACGAAAGCCGCAGATCATGGGCACGCACGCACACTGAACCAAAAGAACAGAAATTCTAGCAACTCCCACAAAACCAAGCAGAACAAAAAACTTTTTCATGATGAAGAAATGTTCTAACGTGGACAATAAAGCATAAGAGGTGCAAAGGAGAAGTGGGTATTTTCTCCTACAAACGTCGACACTGGAGAGTCTCTGCTTTCTTGTGCCACCCGGTCAAATTCAACTCGTCAAGAGATCATCTAAATATCGCCATTGCATTCCGTCAATTGCCTCCCTTGAAATCACCATCATTGACAACAGCCTTCTGGTTTGCTCACCAGGAAAGGCTGGTCTCAAGGCAACCACATCGGCAATGTTATTGAGAGCAGGTGCATGGGGAATATTCGAATCTTCCGTGTACTCCCAAGCGCAGATATTTTCCACCGTGGATGAAGATTATTATTCACTCTTCTATAGCTGTGAGTCACGAGTTCTCAGAACCTGTGGAAAAAAATAATATTTTTTTGAGGTTTCGAAACTACCGCAGCTTATCCGTATTTGTACAACCTCGATTATATCCATCCCACGCGGTACCTTGATGGCTGTTCATTTGGGTGTCTAGCATTTCTCCACCTCTGCTTCAAAAGCGATTCTTCGAAGAAAACTCGATTTCGGGACCAAACTCGAGTATAACAGCAGAAGTCTTCCACACTGTCCAGTCTCGACTCCTTTCCACTTCTAGCATGTTCACTCTATTTACCATTTACCATTTATCAACGATGTACAGGGTGGCCGATCGTGGCTTTATATAATCATTACCTTGTGCTTCTTTTCTTTACGGTTTTAATGGGACGAACAAGTTACTGTATTCACACTACATAATGTGTCTCCGCCGTCTCCACTCTTTGCATGGAGTAGATGTACTTCGGAAATAAAACACAGTGCTGTCTATTTTGAAAAGCATCAACTGATTAGGGATTAGTTACTTATTTACCTGATGCAAAATAACTATGAAAAACATCCTCATAAATAAACCACTTGATTATATGAGTCTTCTTTAAAACCAAGTGTTGGTTATGTAATATAATGCTATTCATATATTAATCTCGAAAATAATTTATTTTTTTCAAGAAATAAAACATTTATATCTTTTGTTATATTGGTTTTGATTATTTTTATTTCTAATTCATAATCATCACATATATGGAATGTGAAATTTTCATAATCAATTTCGACCACAACATTTTAGCGAATACTTAATACTTTCTTTTTATCGTTCAATCAAGTATAATATACTTTTTATTCATTTCAAAAAAGTAAAAGTCAACGAAAAATACCTTGATCCTGTTAATCACGACGGGACAACTTCCAACTCTTTCATATTATAAGAAGACCTCTATGAGTACTTCAGATTTAG